TGGTGCCTTGGCGGGCGCATCCGCACCAGGAGGTGTGATTTGTAAGAACCAGGTGTCTTGATACACCATAGGCTTCAGGATGACTCGTGAAGAACCAGGTTTGTTGCCCTTGGACTTCACCGCAGCCGATGCCTTGATGCGAGCATAACCCCCATAAATCACCGCGCCCTTGTCGTGCGGAAGGAGAGAAAAAGACGATCGAGCATCCGGCTTACCTGAAGCAGGAGGTAACGCGGGCTGATGCCACATGAACTGCTGTGTATCATACAGCCATATGTCCTGCAGATACTTGGTCTGCTGGCTGGTGTCTTGGAAGCCGCCAAACAAGACAATATAATTCTTGAAATAGGTCATGCGGTGACCACTTCGAGCAGGCGGCCCTCCTTTGCCTTCCAATTTCGTCCATTCTCGCGTGCTCGGTTCCAGTCTCCAGAAGTCATTGTAGTGGTAGAATGTGCCCTGCTTGGGAGACGAGAATTCTCCGCCAAACAGATAGATGCCGCCACTGTTTCCTCCTGGACACATCGCATGTCCCGAGCGAGGCAGTGGTGTGTTGGGAGATGTCACTTTGCGCCAGGAGTCCTGGTTGATCTTGTAGACGTATAGATCATTGAAGAAATGGGCGAGAGCTCCATTGTAGTACTCGCCACCGAACAGGAACAACTCGCTGTTGTTGGCCGGCGAGGCGACCAGCGTGGCAGAGGATCGGGGTGAAGGAGGATCGGTAGGAGTCTCAGTGACCTTCAAGAATTGCTCTTGTTGTTTCTGATATTCGGCCAGAATGGCATCGAGGTCGGCATCCTCTTCGACGTCCGAGTCGTCTTTGGTCTTGGCCGACTTTTTCTTTTCCGACTTGCTGGCCTTTTTCACGGCCTTTTCCGCCTTTTTCGCCTTTAATGCCGCCTTGTCCTTTTTCTTGTCCTTTGCCATTTTTTTTTCTTTTGATGAATGTTTGTCTGGGAAGTCTTGCAAACCCCCACGTTTGCAATAAGTTTTACTGGGGAACGGCAACCGAGAATTACATGTAGTCACATTATTCTAGCTAGTGTCTGTCTCTCCACTTTCCGAGGCGAAGCGACGAGCACTTCACTCCCAACTCCAAGCCCCCCACTTAGGTAAATAACAAATAACAAATAACACCACCAACACAACAACAACATCAACATCACCGCGTCTCGATGAACAACATCGTCCGACGCAGCATGTCGTCCATTGCCGTCTCTCCCGCCAAAATCGTGAGCCAGAAAACCCATCAAGTCGCAGGTAATATATACACCTTCCACATCATACCCATCTCACAAGAGGACAGAACCACTAACACCCAACCACCAGGCAAACTCAGCGTAACCGAACACTTCTTCGAAGTACCCAAAGACTACACACAACCCTCCAACGGCGAAACCATCCGAATTTTCGGACGCAGCATCCGCAAAAATGAAAATCCCCTCCTACCCAAATCCACCTCCACCTCCTCTTCTTCCGAGCCCACCACCACTTCTTCTTCCCCCCAACTCCCTTGGATGATATATTTAAACGGCGGTCCAGGAATGGAATGTCGTCCACCACAACAATACCCTTTTACACAACGTATCCTAGAAGCCGGCTATCAACTTTTTTTTCTCGATCAACGCGGAACAGGTTTTTCCTCTCCCATCACCGCTTCAACTCTACAAATGCTGCAGCAAGGAAAACCCAACAACAAGGACAACAAAAACAAAGCCAACGACGAAGAAACTCAAACCCAAAATCTCAAACTCTATCGTGCAGATAACATCGTCCGAGACTGTGAAGCCATTCGACAAATTCTCACCGCAGACTATCCTTCTGGATCTCCTACTGGACCTACTACCGCTGACTCGGAAAAGAAAAAATGGAGTACAATCGGTCAATCATTCGGAGGATTCATTACCATGACCTATTTATCCTTTTACCCCCAAGGACTTCGCGAAAGTTTCATTTTTGGAGGTTTGCAACCTTTAGTGCAGCATGCGGATCAAGTGTACAAATGTACATTTCGCAAAGTGGCAGAGCGGAATCGAGCATACTATGATAAATACCCCGAGGATGTGGCGCGCGTGAGAAATATTATGGCGTATTTGGTACGTGGTGGTGGCGGGGATGGGGAGATTGGACTTCCTTCGGGAGGGAAATTGACGAGGAGGAGATTTTGCGCCATGGGGATTATGTTGGGAATGCATGGGGGATTGGATAGTGTGCATGAGATTGTACACCGCGCGAACAACGATATTGAACTTTTTGGACATTTGACTCGAGGGACGCTTTCGATGATTGATGCTGCTACTTCCTATGACGATCATCTCATTTACGCCATCCTCCACGAACCCATTTACTGCAATGGGCCGGGGACGGCGTCCCGATGGTCTGCAGAGCGCGTACAGGCGGAATTCGCAGAATTTGATATCGATCGTGCAGACGGACCGATATATTTCACGGGAGAGATGATCTACCCGTGGATGTTTGAAGACTATGCGGAACTGCGCAAGGTGCGAGACACTGCGAATCGGGTGGCAGCAGAGGATGATTGGCCTGCGCTGTTTGATCGGGAGCAATTGGCACGGAATGAAGTGCCCGTGTATGCGGCAAGCTACGTGGAAGACATGTACGTCGACTTTGGCCTGGGATCCGAGACGGCCAAGTCGATCAAAGGGGCCAAAGTGTTCGTCACGAATGTCATGTTTCATGACGCCATTCGTTCGCGGATGGACGAGGTTGTCAAGCAGGCGTTTGCTCTTCGAGATGATGTCCTGGATTGATGGATGTCCAAGATGGTTGGCCGCTGGCTGCTGTTGCCCCAGATATACCATGCTCTCAACCCATCGCAACGAGCTCGCACGGGGATTAGACTCACGTCTCGATGCATCATAATGATATTAGACCATCTCCTTTCCTCCACAAACTTCCCTCTTTCGTACCTGAACTTCACACATCCTCCTCCTCCTCCACATCAATCACAACCCCTTCCCGTCTTGCAGTCCTATAAATCCACTCCGTGATCGGCTTCACATCCTCCCACTTGATCGGGATCCGATGCCCACCATCCCACTCGATCACATCCGCCGTCTGGGGATCACAATACTGGCGCAACAACTTTCGATGCAGATGCAACCCTTCATCCATCAACCCATGCACATGCAACGTCGGCAAGCGCAAGATATGCGGAGAGATGCCCTCATACTCAAACCCTTCACTCATTTGGCCCGCAGACACCAATGCGGGGTCTTTACTATATTCTCCCAAACTCACGAGCGGATTCCTCCCCGCCATCAACACCGCAAATCGATAATTATTCGTCGTCGTCCTCCCATCTTCTTTTTCTTCTTCTCCCTCTCCCCTCCCAATCCCCCTCTCCCTCCTAATCTGCTCATCAAACGCCAAACTAGCCGCAACCTTCGCACCCTGACTAAACCCCAACAAACCCACCCACTCCCCCGTCGCGCCATGACGTTCCGTATCCTCACGTTGACACCTCTCAATCTCGTACAAAATCTCCTCCACAGCCGCTTCGTCGTCAATAGGCGGATGATCGGGTGTCCAGCGCAGCCATCGCCGAAAAGGTCCGCAGTCGGCGTAGACGGGGAAAATTCCGGGGCCGGCGGAGCAGAACCAGGGCCCGTCGGCGAAGACGAGGCGGAAGTGGGGGAGGTGTTTGATTAGAGCGCGGCATTGCGTGCGGAAGATGGAGGAGTTGACGCCGCCGCCGTGGAGGCAGAGGATGCGGGGCGCGTGGAGGGAGGGGGTGGTGGAAGGAGAGGACATTGTCGTTGGGCGAGGTCTTGCCCTGGGGTGGGGGGGACTGGACGATGTCGTTTTCGTTGTGGATCGGGTAAGTGTGTCTATTCCAATAATACAGGTAGGTAGGAAGATCAGTGTGTCTTTTTTTTTTCTTTCTTTCCCTTCGCTCGTTCACGACTCCGTCGTTTCGGAAGGTAGGTACCTTAGGTAGGTACAAGTAGGAGGTAGATAATCAACTATCGTTTCGATATCGGTCGCCTTTCTATTATCAGATACCTGTAGTCCTACCGATATACTGCCAGTAGCCGTAGGTAGGTACAGTAGTCCTGATTTTCTTAAAACCTTGAGCGTTAATCTGTCGTTCTCTGCTTGTATCAATAATCAATAATCATGCAAGGCTCGGCCGCAGCATTTAAGCAGCAGCAGCAGCAGGTACATGTAGTCTCAAGCATGCACGAAACGTGTGCAATGTGCATACAGGTAGGCATTGTTGCAGGATGCCGTCGGAGGAGGAGGAGGGAGCTATTTCTAGCAGCCGGCATTGCGCATCGGCATCCCCCAACATTGAAGTCTCACAGAGGAGAGAGAGAGATAAGAGAGTTTGCTATAATTGATGCTCTGAGGAATCGGCGCTGTCCGTATCCGTGGTCAAGACGGGCAGAAGAGCACATCCTGTCCTGTCCTGTCGTGTCATGTCATCATGTCCTCGTGTCTGCCGAAGACAGGATGATGCATAAGGCTGAACAGGTCATGCACATGTATGTGGTCATCAAAGGCTGACAAGGCTGGTCAGTTCTTAGAGCCCCTACCGAACGATTCCCAGGATGTCGCATCAACGTTATATCCGGTGCGCGTGTATCACAGAATGCATCAAGTCTGGGAGGTATATCGAATTGTGGGCAATGCTACTACTGATGGTCCGACAAATGCTTGAAATCAACCCCAATGCATGCTTGGAAGATCGTGCGGCACTTGCATGGTCGACGTGAATCGAGGCGTTTGCAGAACGTGATGGTTTTGTACAGTGAAAATGCTACATGAAACGAGACACAATACACGCTGGCTTATCTATCATGCGAGGAGCATTTTTCTGGGGTCCTCAATGTATTCCTGTTTGTTGAATTAGCATCATCATCATCATCCCAGAATCCTACCAACAAGAAGGGGGAGAAGAAGAAGAAGAAGAAGAAAAAGACATACCTTGATCTTGACCAAAAAGGTCACAGCTTCTCTGCCGTCAAGTAATCTGTGGTCGTATGTAAGGGCAAGGTACATCATGGGGCGGATTTCGACTTTGCCGTTGACAGCTACGGGCTTGTCCTTGATAGCGTGGAGTCCGAGTACCGCAGTCTGGGGAAGGTTGATGATAGGGGTTCCAAACATGGAGCCGAAGACACCGCCGTTGGAGATGGTGAAGGTGCCGCCAGCCATGTCTTCGATCGTGAGCTTGTTGTCGCGTGCCTAATACATGTTAGCGGATGGTCTGGAACGGGTTGAAATTTGTGACTTGCCTTCTTCCCGAGGTCAGCAATGGCCTTTTCGATGCCAACCATGTCCAAGCTCTCTGCATTGCGCACAACAGGAGTGACGAGACCCTTTTCAGTTGCAACAGCAACGCTGATATCCACGTAGTCCTTGTACACGATGGTGTCACCGCCTCCTGGACCCTCAATAGCTGCGTTCACAGTAGGAACATCCTTCATAGCCAGCACAGCAGCCTTGGAGAATGCGCTCATGAAGCCAAGCTTGACGCCTGTCTTCTTGAGGATTTCATCCTTGTAGTTCTTACGCAGGTCCATCAGTTGCGACATGTCGACCTCGTTGAAGGTGGTGAGCGAAGCGGCAGTGTTCTGCGACTGCTTCAGGCGCTCAGCGATCCTCAGACGCATGCGGTTCATCTTGACTCTGTTCTCCGATCGAGTGCCGTAAGGTGATTCGGTCTGCTCCTTCTTGGGCTCCTCCTTCTTTGGCGCTGGTTTCGTCTCTTTCTTTGGCTCAGGTTTGGGTTCCTCCTTCTTAGGCTCAGGCTTGGACTCTGACTTGGGCTGCTGGCTTTCCGCATTCTGTGGTGAGCCCTCCTGCGAAGGTGGTGTCTTTTGGTCGCCTGACGCAGCTTCCTTTGGCTCCGACTTTGCAGTCTCCTTCTTTTCACCTGGCTCACCACCCAGCTCTAGTCTCACGAGATCTTGCCCCACAGTGACCGTGTCCTCTTCATTTGCCAAAAACTCCTTGATGGTACCCGCTGCAGGCGCGTTGACAGCAACATCGATCTTGTCGGTCTCGATTGTGGCAATCTCCTCGTCCAGCTCCACATAATCGCCGACCTGTTTTGAGAACTGTTTGAGGGTTCCCTCGGAGATGGACTCGGCCATTTCGGGCACCTTGACGACTTGCTCTTCTGTAGAACATAGTCAGTACAATTCATATACAGCTGCAATACATTCCCGTACCCCATCGTTGCGTGGACAAGCTGAATTGGCGCAACTGCAGAGGTGAAAACAGCTTTCTGGGCCCAGGAGTCAGTGTTTGTGCTGTTTGTACGGAATATAGGAGGTATTTGATGTCTGCGTACTGTGACTGTTGAAGCGGCCTTAGGGATATTGATGGCGCAGATGAAGAGGAGGACGAAGAGAGGTATCGAGTGGCGGTATATGATTGTGCTGCTCTACTCGTGGTTGCGAGAGGTTGGCGCAAGGTGTTGGGACGAGGAGAGCTGCGAGCCAGACGGCGCAAGCATTGTGAGCTGCTCATGGTGAATGAGAGACGGCAGGTTGCCTTTGAGGAGCTCTCGAAGAGGGCCAAATAGACAGGTCCAGGAGGGTGTGGAGGTGTTGGGGGTGCAGAGCGGAAGCGAGGAGAAGGTGTTTGGATGTTTGTCTGGTTTGGATAGAAATGGTCAGCAGCGCAGCTTCGTCAGTTCCGTCACGCCCCGATCGATCCTGTGAGACCTCCCTTCTGCGTAGCGGCATACTTTCACGGCAACTCCGCTCCACCACTACCCATTCTGCCACCGACTGGCGCGAACTGCACGCGAGCGCTACGAGAGGCACGTTGGACTACAGTGACCTCGCTGGCGACCTGACACTGTGCAGCCCTTGAGGCACAACACCACCGCCGCCATGTCCGCCGCACGCACCCAGGTCCTGTACGCTACCTCTACATACCTATCTCTTCTGCCAATCCCGGACATGATATGGCGCATTGATGGTATTGACTGACCAACCCATCCGACAGCCACCTCTACCGCCGCTCCCTGAAGCTCGCCCTCGACTGGGCTGTTCACCGTTACATCTGGCGCGGTCAGGCTATGTACATCCGATCCCTCTTCGAAGCGAACAAGAACGTTACACAGCCCCGACAGCAAGCGGTATGTCGGTAGAGATGAGATAGAGGGCTGTGTACAGGTGCTAATGGTATGCAAAGGCCATAATTGAGGAGACAAAGCAATTGCTAGAGAAGTGGAAGCACCCGGACCCATACAGACCACCAACCGCACCAGGTGGCAGCAAGTACGAGCGCAACTTGCCTTGCCCACAATTGGACCGTGAGTGCTTTCTGCCTGCTCCTGGACTGTGGTTCTGCGACTGACTTGTGCATCAGCTCCTCCGCCAATGCATCTCTGAGAAGCTGGGAAGGAAGCTCCGGCTTGAGGTGTACATATGAGAAGAAAGCTACAAATGCTGCATGAAACCAAAGAAATTTTACAATCAATGTGCACTCATGAGACGCACTCTACATGACCATACATAGGTATTGACGTGCTGACAGTAGACCGCAAGTCCACAGCCTGGGTATGGGCCTCGCGGATTGCACCACAGCTCACCTCAACCAGTCAGACCATCACACGAAGCACACGGGAAATTTGTGTGAGCACTGATCATAGCCTCGTCTGGCCAGCTTTCTTCAGATCACACACTCGCTCTACAGTCCAAGCACGGATACACGCGACAAGACCCTCTATCTGCTCCACCGTGTTCCCCGCATGCAGACACACTCTAATCCTCTCCGTCCCTAATGGCACCGTGGGCGGCACAATGCCTCTCACCACGAACCCTTTTCTCTGACAATAAGCCGCCAATTCCTTGGGCTCACTTGACAACACCGCAAAGATGGGCGTCTTGGGTTTCTCCAGGGGACAACGCAACAGATGTGACTCTTCAATCGACAGCTGCAAATCCGCTTGCATCTGCTGCAATCTTTCGAATAAAGTTCCCATCAGCTTCTGCAAGTTGTCCGCCAAAGGTTCCGCTTTTCCCTCCATCAAGAACTCATAACTTGCTCGTATCGCCGCCAAATTGGGATACGACATAAACGTCGTATAAATCAGCGGTCGAGCATAATTGATCAAGTACTCCCTGATCAGCGGCGAACACAGCACAATCGCCCCATTACAAGCCAACGCCTTTCCAAACGTATGCAAGCGCACCTCACATTCCCTTTCTAGTCCCAATGCCGAGACCAGTCCACTTCCATGAGGTCCAATCCATCCTGTAGAATGCGCTTCATCCACAATCAACACCCCATTCCCCATGGGACCCAAGATCTCCTTTTTCAATTCCACCACTTTTTCCAAAGGACATATATCGCCGTCCATACTATACACAGCTTCGACAGCGATAAAGACATTTCTGGTTCTCCCTCCTTCTATCACTTTCATCTCCTCCACAATCTGCTCCAACACCCTCTGTAACGCACACATGTCATTATGCGCAAAAAATCTCAAATTCCCTGCTCCACCATCACCATCACCACCAGCAGTCGTCGTCGTCGTCGTCCCAGTAGTCATCCCAGTAGTACTCGTCGTCACCGCAGTAGTAGTAGTAGTAACATTCATCCTCGCCGCCCGAGAAAGTCTCATTCCATCATGTACCGACGCATGAATATATTCATCATAAACAATATAATCCCCTGCCTGAGGCACACAGGAGAAAAATCCTGTATTGGCATCATATCCCGAATTACACAACAGTCCTGCTGGTGCATTGTGGAAATTTGCGAGAAGTTGTTCGAGTTGTTCGGCTAGGGGGGAGTTTCCGTCGAGGAGGCGGGAACCGCCGGATCCGAGGTGTTTTGTGGAGGATGATGATGTTGATGGTTGTTGTTGGTGGGAGGAGGGAGAGAGGGATTGGAGATATTTTTGTTGGAGGTGGGGAGAGGTGGAGAGGGAGAGGAAGTCGTTACTGGAGAAATCTGCGGAGGTGGAGGGGAAGGTGGTGAGGTGGCGGATTGTGTGGTTGTGGCGACGTTTGTGGAGGGCTTTGGAGAGGGACTTTTCGAGGTGGGTTATTGCTGGGGGGATGGGTTTGTTGTCTGGCATTTTTTTTTATTTTCTTTTTCTTGTTTGTTTTGTGAGTAGGTATGAGTGTGATGTGAATATATGGTAATGTTTGTAGTTATACCAGGAGGTATTATATGGTATTATTGATGAAGGACTAATAAAGTGGGGTCATTTGACTAATAGATGTATCTAATGGCCCTTTTTTGACTTTGTTGAGAGGACAAGACGACATGATGTGACAAGTCGTCTTCTTCCTCCTGGTCACAGCCTCGCAGCCTCTCAAAACATCAGCACTGAGCTATATATACAAGGTATTCTTGAGCCGAGATTACGCCACCCTCTCCCCCTCGAGGTTCACAAAGGCCAGCCATTCGATCATAATCCTCTCTGAACCATACAGATATACCATGCGCACGATATGAGGACCATCGGATCGGTCCTCTGGCCGAAATTCAGAGTCCTACAAATCTATGGCGCAAATACTGGAGTGGGAAAGACCATCTTCAGCTCGATCCTGTGCCGAGCATTCAGGAAGAAGTTGGAGAATGTCAAGTATCTGAAGCCCATTTCCACCGGACCGCTCGAGGAAGCAGATGACCAGTAGGTACATATTTCGGAAATAGACCGACTGTGAGAGGGAGGAAAAAAAAGGAGGAAAAAAAAGAGAAGAGAACCATCCAGCTCATCATCATCTCGTCTTCTAGTCACAACAAGTCATTCAATGGAAATATCGTCGACTCGAAATGTCTTTTCCAATTCGACGATCCCGTCAGTCCCCATCTGGCAGCTCGGACGATGGGAAAAGTCGTGCCTGATGCAGAGGTCCAAGCAGCCGTGTACGACGAATTGAAATCGTATGTCGATGGTCGACAAGGGATTGCCATTGTGGAGACTGCCGGGGGTGTCCTTTCGCCATCACCTTCGGGTAGCTCACAAGCAGATCTCTACCGACCACTGCGGCTGCCTTCGCTGCTCGTGGGCGATCACAGACTCGGAGGGATTGCCACGACGATCTCGGCATGGGAGTCGCTTCATCTTCGAGGATATGATGTTTCCACCATCGCATTGTTTGCGGGTGAGAGATATCAGAATTACGAGTATTTGAGAGATTACTTTCGCGAACGGCAGATCGATACGTTCGCTGTGGAGGAGCCGCCAGAGAGGCAGAGTTCGATTGTCGCAGATCGAGAAGCGATGCAGCGATACTATCAGAAGGCTAGTGAGCAGGAGAGTGTAGAAGCTTTCACGGAGAGCTTTCTCGATGCCCATGAACAGAGGATCCAGGACATTCGAATCATGTCCGAAGTAGCCAACGAGGCCATCTGGCATCCTTTTATGCAACATACCGAGCGCTCAAAAGATACCATCACAGCATGGGATTCTGCCTACGGTGATCACTTTCAAGCATATCGGACAGCTCATGAGCGCGAGCTCACGTCAGTGGCGAATGCATCACTCCTCAAGCCCGCGTTTGATGGCTCAGCGTCCTGGTGGACCCAAGGTCTGGGACACGGCAACCCCCAACTGGCATTGACTGCAGCGCACGCAGCGGGTCGATATGGCCATGTGATGTTTGCCAACGCGGTGCACCAGCCTGCGCTCGACTTGGCCACGACAGTGATCAACAAGTCTGGCAACCCGCGATTGGCCAAAGTCTTCTACTCGGACAACGGATCGACCGGGATGGAGGTCGCGGTGAAAATGGCTCTGCGCGCGACAGTGGAGAGGTACAAACCACAGGATCGCCGCAGCCTGGATATACGGATCGTGGGACTGAAGAATAGCTACCATGGCGATACCATCGGTACGATGGACTGTTCCGAGCCAAGCATATACAACGAAAAAGTCGAATGGTATCGAGGCCGCGGCATCTGGCTGGATTTTCCCACTGTCAAGATGCGGCAGGGTGTATGGCAAGTCGAAGCCATTGCCGGCACAGGCGAGACACGAGCCTTTGACTCGCTCTCGGCAATCTTCGCCTTTGAGCAGCGTCAGGGAGACGCACAAGTGTACAAAAAGCACATTCGAGAAACTCTCCTCGAGCGAGTAGCGCACGAAGGCGCCAGTCTAGGAGCTCTCGTGATCGAACCCATCATCTTGGGAGCAGGCGGAATGCTCTTTGCCGATCCACTCTTCCAAAAATGTCTCGTCGAAGTCGCCAGAGAATTCTACACGGACTCTTTTACGCCTGTGAGGGCTTCATCTACCACAATCACCAATAACAACAACAACAACGAAAAAGACCCCCTCGCCTGGCAAGGCATACCCATCATCTTCGACGAAGTCTTCACAGGCCTCTACCGTCTCGGCCACTTCAGCGCCGCCAGTTTCCTCGCCGTGCAACCCGACATTGTCGTCAACGCCAAATTACTCACCGGCGGTCTTCTCCCCCTCTGCACCACCACAGCCAGCAACTCCATCTTCTCAGCCTTTTTAAGTCCGGACAAAACTGATGCGCTCCTACACGGACACAGCTACACTGCACATCCTGTGGGATGTGCAGTTGCGAATGAGAGTTTACGTACATTTGAAAAACTCGATACGAGTGGAGCGTGGGATGCTTTTCGACGGGATTGGACACTACCAGCTGCAACATCAACACCAAACCCAACAACTAAATCCCCTCCCACCCCCCACATCTGGAGTATGTGGTCCCACACCTTCCTAACCACAGCCTCTCACAAACCCTCCGTCGAGCACGTTTTCGCCCTCGGTTCCGTCGTAGCCATCTGCATCAAAGATCCCGCCGGAGGAGGAGGATATGCTTCCACAGCAGCAACAAGTCTACGCGATGAGCTTCTCGAAGAAGACGGAGAAGTGCCAGGAACGTCAGATGGAGCGGTGATACATTCGAGAGTCATGGGGAATATTTTATATGTGATGGCGGCGTTGACGACGAGTGAGGCGACGTTGAGAGGGATTGAGGAGAGGGTGTTGAGGGCGTTGGAGTGAGCGGAGCGAGTGGAAGAGCGTGAGAGCGGAGCGAGAGGTACCTATCCTATCCATATCTGTCATCATCTCTGCTCTCCGTCACCTCATCTCCTCTCCTCCAGCGCAAACCTGGCAACAAAAAAAAAGCAAAAGAAAAGAAAAATACCTCGTATACATCCTATCTCCTTATTACCACACCATCTCGCACTTAACCTCCCAAATCGTGCAATTCTCTTTTCTTTCTTCGCTCCGCTCTGCCTTGCACTCTCAATTCGTGTGAAAAGGACTTTCGTCGCCGACTCGTTGTAGTCCGCACCTGAGGTGGAGTCTCGATTCGGTACTGGCTTTCGTGTACCATGTTCAGAATGCATGTGCGCGTCTGCAATCGTTGATGTCTCAGAAAGGCAAGTACCTACATATGTAGGTACCTTATACATGTGCTGCGTTGCACAGGATCAGGCCAGTTGGTTTCTGCGCCAAGGCCTCGGTGTTGGTCTTTCTCGACGCGACCTCTCGACGCGTTGGGAATGTCAAAACTTGCATGCTGGAGATCAGTACGCGCACTGCAAGAAATGTATGAAAAGGCAAGTTTTTAAAAGTTTTGAAGTGCTGATCGATTCTTGTGGTATCATCATAAGCCTGCTGCCCGAATAGCTGTCTTGCTATGGTATCATGGGCATAATGTACAGCCTTCGCTCCTGGATCAGATCAGAAGCTTGCGTGCATGCTGTAAGCAAATAAGAAATTCAGAGCACGCCATAACCTGCGCTCGTGCCCGCCGTCGATGAGTCCATTATCATCGCGAAACAACCCCCATCTGCGCCATAACCCATTGTGCCGTAGTCTTAAATTGAACTGGAAGAAACTCGAGGGAGCATCTACAGCTCTTGAGATGCGCCACCTTTGCCTGGCTTGGTACCAGATGTCTTCTTGGGCAGAAGGTCTGAAAGAATAGCAGTCAGCAAATGCTCGAAGCCGAGTGCATGTGAGAAGCGACTTACTCTGGTGGATGTTTGGCAGGACACCACCTTGTGCAATGGTAACGTGTCCGAGAAGCTTGTTCAGCTCCTCGTCGTTGCGGATGGCCAACTGCAAGTGACGTGGGATAATACGTGTCTTCTTGTTGTCACGCGCAGCATTGCCAGCCAATTCAAGGATTTCAGCAGCCAGGTACTCGAGGACGGCTGCGAGGTATACGGGAGCACCTGGAAAACACATATTAGGAGATGCGACATAGCGGAAGCAATCGGAAGGTCGGGCTTACCGGCACCAACACGCTGAGCGTAGTTGCCCTTGCGGAGGAGTCTGTGAACACGACCGACTGGGAATGCGAGACCAGCCTTGGACGAACGACTATGAGGAGAATGATGTCAGTTTGCGCCGATTGGAATTGCAGAGTGAAAAACGCGTCAATTTGAATCGCAAAACGCGTCTCAAAAAGGCGGCGAATTGCGCTGATGCATCGGAATCAGAACGAGGCGAATACTTACGACTGCGCGCTAGACTTGGCACCGCTGGCCTTGCCTCCGGACTTGCCTCCAGTCATTTTGGATGGATGTGAAAACGGGTTGTTGTGGTGGTGGAAGAGGTGGTGGTGATGGCGGTGATGATGTCGTGGAGCGCTGGGTGTTGTTGGCGATAGATGTTGGATGAAGAGAGGAAGAGAGGGCGATGGCAGAAGGTGGGCGTCGATGAGTTTAAGTACGGACACGCAAAGTCCGTGGGTGGGGAAGATCAATCGAGTTGTTTGTGGGCCGTGCGCAGCTGACTGGACGCGTCTGATTGGGGGAAAGTCCGTTGATGCAGCCAGAAGCCGCACGGCCAGCGGTGGAGTACAAGAACCCTCTGACGCCCACTCTCGTCCGCTGTTTCTTCTTCCTTTCCATCTCCAACAACATCGCCCAACGACCGCATCCATCAACGCCAACTGCCCCATTTCATCCACCACCTCCACCAACTTCCAAAAACCACATCAATCAGTCGAAATGGCACCAAAGGCAGCACAAAAGGTAATTTGGCGCGACTTTGGCACGTAGGCGCGTCGCAATCGCATTCTAACCTTTCGCGCAGACCCCATCCACCGGCGGCAAGGCACCAGCTGGCAAGGCTCCTGCTGTTGAGAAGAAGGAGGCCGGCAAGAAGACTGCCGCCCCATCTGGCGACAAGAAGAAGCGCACCAAGACCAGAAAGGAGACCTACTCCTCGTACATCTACAAGGGTATGTTTTCTCACCTCGATCCATCTAGCTCATCCAGATTCGAAGTCGCATTTCGATTTCAAATCCATTCTGAGTCATCTCAATCTTTCTTTTTTGCGCTTTTACTGACGCGTCTTTTCTCAGTCCTCAAGCAGGTACACCCAGACACGGGTATCTCCAACCGCGCCATGTCCATCCTCAACTCTTTCGTGAACGACATCTTCGAGCGCGTCGCAACAGAGGCATCCAAGCTCGCTGCATACAACAAGAAGTCGACAATCTCATCGCGCGAAATCCAAACATCTGTGCGACTGATCCTGCCTGGTGAGCTTGCCAAGCACGCCGTGTCTGAAGGCACCAAGGCCGTCACCAAGTACTCTTCTAGCACCAAGTAAACGTGACATCATCGGGTTTGATGGATGTTGGCGTTGCTTCTTTCGAATGACAGATGCCTCACTGATGGGTGGTGATGGGCTCTGCTGGGTACAATGGGCGTTTAGATAATGCGATCATGGGATGGGTCTGCTTGATGTTTCTTATTTTACGATTGCTCACAATACCACGGCGCTGATACCGCAGTCGGCGGCGCGCAGCAGAGCAGTCGGGCATGGATAGGCTGTACAGTAGCAGCTGCGGCAGCGCGAGGGCAAGTCGATCAGGCTGAGTCCAGCTTGATATGAATGCATGATTTCCAACACTACTACTTGCCGTCTCGACTCGTTCATCTCATACTGACTTGCAACTCATATGGTCTGACTTATGCACTTGACATTGCTCTCTCGACTCACAGAATGCGTCCTTGACGCATTTTCCTGTCTCTGCACAGAAGAAGACGTGAGGTCCGTTTGTTTTGATTTCGGGCACGAGACTGACGCGCTAGTGTGAGCCTGAGGCATCAAAGAAAAAAGTCTGAGAGGAAAACTCTGCTGGCACGTGACACGTGTCCATATATCTTACATTTGACTTGCATTAGGTAAGCTGGGAAATGACATTTAGAGATGTATGGCATGCTAACTTGGTCAAAATTGGTGAAAGAATGAATGAATGATTTGGTTCTATTTCTTTGGTTGGCAAAAGTCGAAAGAGTTGGATATATGTATCTTACCTGGTAGGTATAGGTAAGGAAAGTTTTCTGTGCAGTTTGAATTTGAGGTTGAATATCTTCACTTGTATCTTCATCCCATGATGGACCTTTCCTGATACTCCAATTCGTTTCTCTTTTCATGTACATGTACATACATACAGATCATGTAGAGTAGATAGTTATTATCGTTTGATCATGTCCCTTCATCATGTCCCATCATCATCATCATCATCATCATCATCATCATCACAGAGGAAACAAAACCCAAAACATCTTTCCATACCTATCTCCCATCCACCACCACCGTCGTAGGTACTTTTCATGTTTCACGGTACAGGTTTTCTCGGAATACTATGTTCTCTTGTTCTCCAACCCCATCTTCCCAGAGAAGAAGAAGAAGCAGAAGCACCAGAACCATCTGCACCACCACCACCACCACCAAATCTCGAAACATTCTCCCAAGGTTGCAAACCCGCCATTTCACCTTTTCCACGCTCGAGAGCAGCTTGATTCTTGGCATTTGCAATCGCCGCCTTTTCGGCGTTTTTGCGAGGGAATCGCGTGTCGATTTCGTTGTTGAGTGTTCCTCGGAGAGTTTCGCCGACGCCCTGTGAAAGAAATTAAGAAGTTGAAGTCGTTGTTTGTAAGAAAAGGGAGAGGGAGAGAGGGGGAAAGAGAGAAAGAGGACTTACGTGAATTCCTTTTGCCGCTGCTCGCAAACTACCCAGTGTGGAAGTGGTGGCGGCAGCGGAAGGAGCTGCAGATGGTGCTTGGCTGGCACTCGCGCTGGGCGCGATGGAGGATTCTTCGGACATGCTTTCGATGGTGGAGAGGCCGCCATAGGACGAAGGTGGGCCCGGAGTGTAGCCATAACTATCATGTGGGTTTCCGGCAGGATGAAGCATTGCTGCATTGGGTGCGAGATGTGATGCATTGGCTGGCCCCGCTGATGAGGAAGTGGTGTAGTTGGGGTAGTCTTCTGGCCCGTGTGGATACGATGGGGCGGCGGATGGAGAGCGTGGAGGAGGTGGAAAGGGCGCTGGTGTGCCTTGTTGAGCTTCTCCTTGGGTGCCACTCTGCTGCTGACCTTGTGCCCATGCCTTCCATCCGCTGCTAGGACTATGCCTTTGCGCATCTTGCAAGAACGGAGGGGCAGGAGGTGCACTCGCTGGCGCAGCTGGCGCAGGAGAGGGAGCGAGCGGTCTGCTTGGGTGAGAGGGGGTCACTCCAGAGGTAGCGCCAGTGACAGGACTCGATGGCAAGGGCTCCACAGTCTCGAGAGGTGGACGATCGAACTCTCGTGACAACCGCTTCGGGCTCCTGGTTGGCAGATTTGGAGCAATGGGGGGCAGGCTCTGTTTTGAGATCTGTAGAGGAGTCGGTGCGGGAGGGGTGTTCGCCCGAGTGGCAGTCGTCGAGGATGGAAGTGCAGGCGGCACATCTGTGCTTGATCGTGTGGGTGCTGGATTCGCTGGCATCTCTGATACCACACTGGCTTCTCGTGGTCTACTCCCACTTCGTTCTGACGGTGGTGCGGCCGCAGCAGTGGTAGAGGATCCGGCAGGCAGGGTGTTGACTTCTGTCTTGATCTCTTTCTTTCCATCCTTTCCGCGCACGAGTGTGGTGGTAGTCGTCGTGGTAGTTGTGGTCGTCACAGTGGAGACTACTTCTCCCGTATCCTCATCCAGCACAGCTCCAGTGGTCTTATTCACAGCCAAGTTTCGATCTTTGTTCACGCCCTCGATTTGCCCCTCATTGTGGAGGGGTACGATGTTGTTCGACTTCTCTGATCGCGAGTTGGATGGAGCATCGCTACTGGCATATGCGGAATCGTGTACAGGCCCGCTCATGGGCGACACAGCGGTCGGTACCGTACTGGAGCTATTGCCAGTTTCGTAGTTGGCACTCGTGTTGGTATTCGGTGCCGTCAGGTCTGCAGACGGGTTCGTGGCAGTCGTGCTACTTGGCGCTAACAGATCCGACGAAGCATTCGTAGACTGTGGACTTGAAGAAGTCTTGTCCTTTTTCCTGCCAAATATCCCACTGAGGCGGCTCCTCTCTCTCTTGGCCTGCATGGTGTCGGTGTCGCTCCCGTCTGTGGGCACTCGTTCGGTCGATGGGTTGCGTTTCTGTAGCTTGTTGACCATTCCGTCGGACTTCCCTTCTCATATACAACGATACCTGTAACTGGAGCAGCAGACCCTATACAGGGAAGACGGACTGACACATGCGGAGACATTATAAGAGAAACCCACCTCGTGGCTCTTCGTGCGCGCCATGCTGCCAGGAAACTGGGACAAGCTCCATCCACAGCGTAGGGTGATGTCACCACGGGCGCAGATCGTGCAGATACATGTAATGTACGCCTCCAGCGCTCGATGGCGGGGACTGCAGTGTATCTCGACAGTTTCGTGGATACGTGGAGTGAGGGCATATTAGTCGTGTTTCTAGATGGGAGCAGGAGATGGGCGATCTAGTCGCTTCGTCCCTGGATTCCAGGAGGCATGGCGAGCAATCACATCGCCTATACCGATCGGCATGAATTTGGTGAATATGGGCTTTCGATTACAGGCGTGCTCTGCGGGCCTCGAGTGCTGCGATGGACCATATTGTCAATGAACTGCGCATGTAGTGGGCACTGGTGGTTAGACTGAGCGTGCATGTCGACTGACGATTGTCTCGGAGTGTCCACTGTTATGGTTTGCGTCTGTTCATTCTAGGCCGGAGCTGGGTCCGCTGACATCGGCATCGAATCCTCGACGCCTCAACCTTTACCTTGTGAATGATCAATCGATCAGAATAGCTTCTTAGTAAACGACTCTTCCTAGGATCAGGTAGTTTGTATTAGCCCAATATTTCTATTCCAACATATCCTATCTCATAATTTACCACCTTTCATCCAGACTATGACCTACTTCTTAGTCAGTAGTGTATGCACAATCCCAAATATGGAGCATTTTCAAAATATCGTTAAATCCAAAACATCGCCATCGAGGTCTCAAAACGGCATTTACGATATTCAAACCACGTCGAATTATTTCCATAATATTATTCCATCGACACAAAGACTTATTGGCGAACTGGAGTATATAATGGACGACCTCGTCGTCGACCGTAACCCTAAGCTAACCCTAAGACATTGGAATCAAGGCACCGAGACCCTTGGCTGCGCTGTGTCCGCACGGCATTCGGGACCATGCATATACGCCAGAAGTCATCGGAATAGAAAAGGAGAAGTATGCTAAACGGTCTAAAAATCTATACACTGGCTGCTTTTGCTGTCAAGTTGCTGTGCACTGTGGGCATCACCATTGTGCCGTCCCAAGCTGTACAGATGCAATCAGACAATGACTTCGTCATCCAAGTCCGGCAGTTCCGGTCCTCATAATCTGCTCTACAGGCACTGTTCGCCCTTCGTTTGCCTTGCCTAGACCCATACCACTCGACCACCCATACTTCCCCATGAGCTTCGCGCCGAAACTGGTATGGCTGATTGCAGGCGCCGACCCACCCACGATCTCTCCATTGCGCACAGTGACGGCATCCTTGTTAAAGCCACCACCCCTTCCTGGACCTTTGCTGATCTGCTTACTGAATTTCTTCGCCGCTCCACGGTTGGACAGGAAACCCCTCGAAGAAGCCGAGACGACCTTGACGAACACCTCTTCAGAATACTCTGCGGTTCTTGCAGTCTTCGACAGGACAGGGAAGCGGTTCTTACCCACTCCCTGAGATCGAGAGCTGAGATTGAGAGCATTGCAGATGTTGTGGAGCGCCGCGCGATCTTTCTTGTCCATGGGCGGGAAAGCTCGCTGCTCGAGATCTTCATCTTGCAAGAACTCTCGGAGCTCGTCGTGTACATCTCGCATGCTCATCCCCAGTGGGTACTTGGTGCCCAGATGAGCCCTGCCTTTTTTACCAGAGGAGCCAAGTAAGCCTTCGCGGCGAAGCTCCTCCCGTTCGAGCTTCTTCTGGGCCTTCTTCGATCGATCTTTGTTCCACTGCTCAGACAACACCTCCCTCAGCCCATCGTCGGATATGGCGTCCAGCTCTGGCGGAACTTTACCCTTACGACCCTTTTTGAGAGGTCGCAACGACGGCCGCTCGAAGTCCATGACATCGAAACCATTTTCACCATACTGTTCAACAGTATCCGCAAGCAGAGACGCATCGACAAAGTTGTTCTTCTTGTCACGCCCACGCCTCCGCATGCGGTTCCTGTTCGGTGCTTGACCGTATGCCAGATTTGTGAGATTGGACAAACCCCTGCGCGCGGCTTTTACATCACCAACACCATCGTCCGAACCGTACATTCCTCCGTCATCAATCATGAGCTCGTCTCCATGCATACCAAATTCTTGTTGCTTCGAAAGTAGCCGCGCAAGCTCCTCATCAGTCATTTGATCTCGCCGACGTTGTCTGATGTCTTCCTCATCTTCCCACATCTCTTGCTCATTGTACGCCAGCTCGGACTCCAGACCATCCGAAGACAATTCGTCCATGTCGGGGTTTATCGAAGACATTCCGTCGCTGTTACTATTATCATCGTCGACACTCTCCCATTCATCATTATGATCATCATTGCTCTCATCGTCGTCGTTGCCCTGCACATGCGTCAACAGCTCATCGTCCGGAATCACACGGCCATCAACCACGAGTGAAGGACGATTCAGCGTCGCCGTCGCCTTCAGACCGGCGAGAAACATCTCCTCGCTCGGGTCGCCAGCCTGGTCGTCCATCTGAGCTATCAGGTTCTCCATGTAGTCGTCGTATGCAGCTTCTTCGTTGGCTCCGTCATCGTCATCGGTTATGAGTGTCCGCAGCGAACGATTGTCCGCTTTCCTGCCACGCTTACCCCGGCGATCAGGTCTCGAAGCGCTCTTACTAGACTCCCCTTGTCTCCTAACGGCGTTTTCCTTTGCTTTCCCATTTTCGAAGTCCTCAGCCTGCACGCCACCATTTCTTTTCGCCATTTGCCCCTCTTTCTTCGACGCCTTCTTTTCGCGCAGCGCCGTTCTCCATTCAGATTGCAGTGATGCGATGTTATCGACTGCGCTTGTTACTGGCTTGCTTGACTGTGCCTCAGCGAACGTATCTTTCGATCGCTTCGCTGAAGTGCTGCCGTATGCTTCTCGTCCAGCTTGAGGAGGGTTGAGGTCCGGTCGTGGCTTGCTCTTTTGCTTTCTCCAATAGGGCGGACCTGTCGCGGGTTCCCACGGGGCGTCTGACTTCATGTCCAGGTCATACTTCGAAGGCATAGAGCCCCAACCCCAGGCCTCAACCTGCGAGTTCGTGCTTGTATTCGGCGCATGTGAAGATTTCGAAGGTACGGTGCCATTGTTTAGCTCTTTTTCAAGGTCGTCGAGTGGATGTGGGCTGGGGCGAGGCACTCGAGCAGTGGGTGTAGCAGTCAGTGTCTGTCGTGGGGGTGCCGAGAATGGATCGTCGATCACGGTGGCCTTGCTACGGCCTTTGAACACAACAGCCTCCTCACTAGACTCTGATCGTGCAGGCGATGGCTCGCGAACAGGTCGCTTCCCTCTCAACCTGGATGAGGTTGCGGTTGTCACTAGGCTCTCGTCACCAACAGTGTCGACCACGAACTGCAGCTCTGGCGCAGGTTCTTGCTGGGGCTCGTCATCAATAATGATTCTCGTATCTGTGCTGGTCGTAACGGTTTCTATGTCCATATCCATAACTTCAGACCTGTCAATGGCCATCTTTGCCACACCGTCTTCTGTGCTCTCAATGTCCGCCTCTAAGTGGATATTGGTTTGTATGGTGCTGTCGTCAATGTCGAAATCGTCGTCGTCATCGTTGTCGTCGTTTTCGCTGTCGTCGTTCTCGGGTGCTACTTTGCTACCTGTGGACGGTCCTTGAAGTTGCTGGTGTCGTTCCTCAACTGCTGATTGCGGCACACCGGCGCTGACAAAGGCAATGGCTTGATGCCGGAATTTGGCGTTGGAGCTCTGAGGGTTTGCAGAACCCGAGGGCTTCTTTGCGCCACTGAACCCTTTGAACTTGACGCGATTATCGTCGTCTGCCATGAATTAGCATGTGGACATGAGGAACGATGCAAATCTATGGCAACACCAACCCCAGTCGCTCTCGTCATATTGAGAGAAGTTGTGTCGGGGCGTGCTATGCCCGCCGCTCTTCGCTTTCTGCTTTTTGCCAGCTCGACCTTGAGCCTTTCCTTTCTTACCCATCTTTTCGAGCCCCGCTGGGGAATCGCTGTGGCGTGTGGCAATCGGCGGAGGGCGTCTGAGCTAGGCGATGTAGCTTGACCGCGCGTGAAGATGGTTGGAAGGAGTGCAGATGGAAGAATGTCGAGAGATGGAGCGCGCTCGATGTGTCTCTCTCATTGTGCTGTCATCTCGGTTGAGAAGGAGGAGGAGGAGATGGTGGTAGTGGTGGTGGTGGTGGTGGTGGTGGTTGTTTCTCATTAAGCTATTCATCGGTGATGACTGCATTTGCATGTGGATCTTGCTTGCACAAGCGCGGCGCACAGGCACAAGGCGGGAACATTGGTCGGATTGGTCCCTGACTGACTCCCTGTCCTGTCGCCTTTATCGGGGATCAGCCGCTTGCCTGAGCCTCGCATGACGGACGGATCTACCACCAGGCACGGCTGGCACGCACCATCCACCATCTTGTGACTCTGCACCAACCGACCTGCTTTGTGAATAGCTGCAGTGGTACTGTACTCCTACCTACAACGACTCTCCTCCCTCCCCGTCTCCTCCCTTTGTGTGCAGCAAGCAGTATATGAGCCCCGCTGTCTCATCAGTCACCAGTCACATGCTCCGCCTCCGATCTTAGCTCACGGAGCGCGTGAGCACGACTGCATACCTACCTAGACTCCCTGAGAGTGCCGCTCGCTGCCTCACGCTGCCTCTCCCTTCGCTCGACTGATCGACTCCACTGTAACAGCGGCCATGAACGAGTTCGCCCGCTTCTCCAAGCGGGCAGTCGACTACATCTTCGATCGGCCGGCCAGAAACGACGACACAGCGCCCATCTGGTGCTTGGGACGATCCTACAAGTCGGATTATCAACCCACACAGCTGGCGTCGTCTACCGGTGCTTTGCCCGGTACTTCGCCTTCAGCACACTCAGATGTATCTCATGCCGACAGTGCTGTTGTGACCAAGAGCAACGAGAAAACAGATGGGAAGAGTGTAGATAACGACGATGAGTTGGTCAAGAGCTTCGACCAAGTGCAGCTCAGCAAGTCTATGGACGAGGAAGACCTGGGTTGGCCTTCCGACTTCATAGATGACTTTGAGTCGCGTATATGGATCACGTATCGGGATGGCTTCCCTCCCATAGCCAAATCAACAGATCCCGCTGCTGGCTCCAAAATGTCATTCACCACTAAACTCCGCAGTCTGACGAACCAACAAGGCTTCACCTCTGATACTGGCTGGGGATGCATGATCAGGAGTGGGCAGTCTCTACTGGCGAACACAATCCTCTTGCACAGGCTGGGAAGAGATTGGCGCAAGGGCCAGAAGCAGGAGGAGCACAAGAATATCCTGTCGCTCTTTGCCGATACACCCGAGGCGCCCTTCTCGATCCATAAATTTGTAGAGCATGGTGCTCAGGCCTGCGGCACATATCCTGGCGAGTGGTTTGGACCGAATGCTACCGCCAGATGTTTACGGTGAGTCTTGGAGGGCGATTAAGTATGGCTATAGCTAACGTGCTACAGAGCGCTCACAGACAAGTACCATGGAGCTGGCTTGCGAGTATATGCACGACCAAACGACAGTGATGTGTATGCCGATGCACTGATCGAGACAGCGACCCAGAAAGACGCCGATGACAAGTTCCAGCCTACACTCATAGTTCTCGGCATCAGGTTGGGCATCGAAAAAGTCACGTCGGCATACCATGTAGCGCTGAAGGCGGCATTGGAGCTCCCACAAAGCGTTGGCATCGCGGGCGGACGACCGAGCAGCAGCCATTATTTTCTTGGGCACCAGGGCGATTCGTTCTTCTATCTCGACCCGCATACCACACGACATATGTTGTCGCCGCAGCCCTCAGCCGAAGACATTGAGACGTGCCATACTCGACGAATCCGAAAGCTCCCGCTGTCAGAGATGGATCCTTCGATGCTCCTTGGCTTCCTCGTTCGTTCTCAAGAAGAATTCGAGGAATGGCGGAAAGCGGTACTAGAAATGCCAGGCAAAGCCATCATCCACATTCACGAGACAGAGCCCAAGTACTCTACAGGCAATGAGCGAGCTGGCGCAATCGACGAAGTGGAAACGATGGACGAGACTCTAGACGAGGATGACGATGACGAAGGCGAGAAGATATGAATGCATCATGTGTCGGGGTTTATTGCATGGGAAATGATGGTAACGTGAAATGAGAGGATATTTGGCGCTCCGGTGGCTCTTCAGAACTGAGCATACTGAGCGTTTTTGCATGATAATGCGGATGGGCATGGCGCATACTGGAGATGCAGTTCTCGGCTTAGACTCAGCCATAGATACCCGAAGTAAATGATGCCTGCGGGTACCTCCTAGGCTGGGTAGCACAATCGCGTGAACGCGAAAATGACACGATGTCGTCTTGGCGGCGTATGACGATTGTCTCCTAGATTCTCTACTTCGTACAGACCTTACCTCCTACCTTACCTACCAATACGCAGTTTTCGAACGACATTCCTGAGCATGTCTAATCCACCCAACGCCTTTTGTGCGCATTTGTACGATGACTTCGGTGTCAGAGAGTCCTTCCGCACCTCTCCCATCAGACCGGAAGCGTGGAAGGTTGGAGATGAGCTGTCTTCAAGAAAAATGATGGCTATTGCGGCTGGCAAGCCTTGTACCTGAAAGAGCTAGGGGCACACCAATGAGAGAAAGAGAGGGAGAGAGAGTGGGAGAGGGGGAGAGGGGGAGCGAAAATTTTCTATGGATACTCCACAGCACGAAGGGGTGCACTTTTCCACGAGGTCTCGCACTGGCGCATAAACCTTTGCCAGAGACATGAACTCGCTATTGGCCTTCATGTTGTTCATATTGCCGTCAAAGCCCCATTGGCGTCTTGCACTTGTAGCAGCGTTTCGGAGCTGTATTGCATAAGCGAAAAGAGGTTTCGGACCTGCCCTGGCCGCCAATGAAGCCTCTGGTATGCGCCCTCATGGATGATCATTATTAGTTCATTATCATCGTGTCCATTCCATGGTCTACCATTTCGACTCCTTGGAGCTACCCCGCAAGTACCAGTCGATGCATTATCCGCATTAATCCTTGTCGTCGAACGCGTCAGTCATTTTCGGAATCTTCCGAAGCTCTATGGTGTTTGCATGCTGCATTGTTGGGTGCCTCCAGCAAACATCGTCCTGCCTTTACCAAGCAGAACTCAACATCACATCGATCAAGTCACATCAGCTGCTTGTCACTCTCACCGATACCATGACAGTCTCATACAAAGAGTGCGTTGAGTTGCATTTGAACACGAGCACTCACTGATCTGCTGTAGGATCGCGACTGCGAAACCATTCCGATTTCTCATAGGCGATGCCGCTGTCGAATTCTTCGTTCATCCCGCGATTGTCACCCAGCAGTCGAAGTCCTTGGAGACACTTATCCATGGCAAAATGAAAGAAGCTCGCGATGGATTCGCCTGTATCGAAGAAGTCGATGTGGATACCTTTGCTCGCTTTGTAGAGTACTGCTACACTGGAGACTATCCGGCTGCTGAGCATGTGGTCGTGCTAGACGCTTCTTCGATACAGCATGAAGACGGTAAAGTCGAGCATGAAGTTGGTGAAGTCGAGCATGAAGTTTGTGAAGTCGTCCAAAACTTCTGGGACCTAGACATAGAAAGTTCCCGCTGGAAGGCAAAACGTGGAAAAGGAGTCAAGAAGAATTTAATAATGGCACCACGCTCAATGCGTCGCCAGGAAATGTTGAAGGCGTTTAAGGAGCTATCCTGGAACACTCCAGCCCAAGAACCAAAACCACCCCAATATGGCGCCCGAGTCAACAGAGAAGCCTGTGAGGACTACACCGACGTCTTCCTCTCCCACGCTCGCTTGTATGTGTTTGCAGACACATACGATATCGAAAGACTCCGTGTGCTGTCACTGCAAAAGCTACACCAATCTCTCGTCAATTTCACGCTATTCGCGGAAAGAACTACAGATATTGCACTCCTGCTGCAGTATGCCTACCAACATACCCCAGAGCGTACATATACAATGGATGATCTTCGCGAGCTCCTGATGAGATATGTTTGTTGTCATCTCGAGCAGATCAAAAGCAATAGTGTCTTTCAGGAGACGCTCAAGGCTGAAAATAGTTCGTCTGTGGATCTCATCGAGATGTTGTTGCCAAGCCTAGACTGAAGGACGAGAAGGCGAGGTCGGTGTGGGAATCACTTGATTCGTAGGTAGTCTTGCTGCTTCAATCGAGAGAAATGAGGAAGCCAACGCAGCTACGAGGAGGACCTTGCAGGCATCGATAGGACATGGAAAAAATTTAATGTCTAGCCAAAACTGCTCGCGAATCTGTCCAGACTATCGAGCAGCTCTTGAATCGATATACAAATGAGTGTGAGTATAATCTGATAAACCGCATCACCCCATCATCTACTGCTTCTCTTCTCCCAGCATCTTCCAACCAACTAACCAATCAGTCACCAAAGATCAATCCTTCCGCTTCAACCCTTCTTAGCTCCTCCACTGTTACCGCCGTTTCCTCCATTGCTGCCTTTGCTAGCAGCAGTATTCGCGCTCCGGTCTGCTGCGGACTGCGCACGCGCAGCAAAGCCAGAGTCGTTTCCGGACTTGGCCTGGTTTGATTGTGTTAGTTGGAGAAGCTGAGATAATGAAGAAGGAGAAGAAGCTGAAGAAGATCAACGTAAGGTACATAGGTAACTTACATTTCCGCTTTGGATGCGCGAAGCATCTCCTTTGGTCATTTGGCCTGACATCTTCAGGAAAATAATTTCTCAATTGATGTTCGTGTTTGATGTTCTTGTTTGTGTTTTTCGCTGATGTTCTATCACTCTGAGTTGAGGAACCAAGTTTTTATATATGAACTCTGATGCTCTGCTATTTAAATATCATCCTACCTATCTTATCTTATCCTTCACACATACATATCCTGCTGCCGCTACCGTCCCCGTCAAATTGTATATAGTACATGTACATCGATTCGATCCACGTTGAGTTGAGGGTTGTACAGACAGGCCTGCTCTGATGAAAAAGATGGGTCCTCAAAGCTTGCCTTGTTATCGTTCTATATGAGATGTTGGATAACAACGAATTTTAAATGGGGTCTTGCAGCTCAACCACTAAGGTATCTATCTGGATGGTCGTAACGAGAAGTATGAGGAAAACAATGTGTGTCTGTTGGGGAGATGGTCTCGCTACTACGTGCAGTGACCAGTCCAGTACATACTTACATACATATATTGAAAATCTGGGAGAGAAGGTGAGGGTTATGTAGTTACCTTACTCAAATAGGTAATCCGGCTACGGGTTGAATAGTTGTGCAACAGATATATGTATCGAGTATCGACGAGGAAAAAGAGAAAAGGATGGACGAAAAGATGTAGAAGCTTCAGAAGCGTTGAATAAGTCTATCGCAAACAGATTACACGGCAGTCTTGCAGCCGCCTGTTTTTTTTCCTTTGATAACAGGCCCCAATATTCTGCTTGCAAATCTCACTCCACTACCTCCAACTTCCCAAATCCTTCTTCCAAACTCTTATTATTATGATCCACCTCATCATTCTTCCCCTCCTCCTCCTCTTCTTCTTCCCATCCCAACAAATTCTGTCGACTCGTCATCGGTTCCGCCCTCCACACCACTCCCGGCAACTCCTCAATCCGTCTCCTCACATGCGCATCCATATCCCGCAGGACACTCGCCAATTTCCGTCTCGAAGCGAAATCATATTCCTTCAAATCCGGCACCGTCCATTGATCGTACAATCGGCCATGAGTGGGGAGGAGTGTGAAACCGCCGTGATAGTGCAGGAAGAGATGACAGAGATAGCAGAGATATTTGCTCGTGCCGATTGTTCTCGGCGGAATCTTCCTTATCCCTTCGCCGCTGCTTGTTGGGAGATGAGTTTGAGCTTGTAGAGCAATCTCGACGACGAGTTGGACTTCTGCGTGAACGTGACATTTGCCGGCCCAGCTCTCGTATGTGATGTCTGTGGGTACGCTGGCATATGGAGGCACGTATTCGAAGTGGATACGATGAAATACTGCAGAGTATTGGGATGCAGCGGCTACCAGATCTTGAGCTATTCTCCAGTATGCCCCGATTTTCTCGAGTTGACGCAAAGTCTTGAGTGCGGCCCCGATTTGCGGAGTTGAGCTGGATTGCTCGAGCTTGAGGGCATAAGCGCTCATTTCAGGTAATCTGCAAGATCTGTAGGTCGCTTGTACTAGCTGCTGTAAAGCATTCGAGGTCTCTGTATCGGTGGTCTCGAAGTCTTCATAGATTTTGGCTAGCTCTGTGAGTTGCGCTACCGTCGACTCCCTCACTCTCCGCTCCGACTTCTTGGGATAGATGTGTTGAACCCGATGAATCACATTAGCAAAGTCCTGCCAGAGTGACTTCTTATGCGTTCGATCCAGATACGTCGGTTTCGTCCATTTCTTCGATCGCAAACGGCCCAAGATCTTTTGTGTATGCTGCTGAATGATGATGTTGAATATGACCGGGACGGATGTACTGTGTTGGCGATCTTCATCCGTGCTTGTGCTTCGGGCAACGACCTGTAGCACTTCAGCAATATCGCCCAACATGTTCTTGACAGCGTCATCCACGATGTCCATGCCGGCGATTTTGGCATTCAGAAAGCGTTCGCACTCGTTACCACTTGCGAGGCTGATATGCTGCTCGAGACATACTGCTGCAACGCTTTGGGCTCCTTCTGATACGGCCGCGATGTAAGCGAGATCGTCTGCCACTTGCTTCTCAACCACAAGTGGCAGGGTCTCACTGCTCGTTGCAGTCTTATAGGTGCCTTTCACCCTTTCAGTCATCACGTCAATGGGCACAGCATTGGTTCGCTTCTCCAGAGCGACGAGATGCTGTCGAAAATCATCCTCGGAAACTATTGACCAAATCGTATCTGACGGGTTCGCCGTCTGCACTGGTCGCAGGCCATGAGCATTAGAAGGGTCAAGCATCGCCTGGTGTCACGGGCATCTGTCTGTAGGCCGGCCACTCAGTGTGATTCAGCTGTGCAGACACGATGATGATGTTGCGAAGGAGTTCCGAAAGGAAAATCGAAGGTGGAGTCATGTCAGAGCTAGAACTAGGAGATAGCGACGTCAAATTTTGATGGAAGCATTTGATTGAGGTCTTGGCGCATATGCTCAGAGATCACCTCCCATGAAAACAGCAAGCAGGCCGTCGTCTCTGCGCCGGTATATCACTCTGGAATAGAATAGAGCACTGATCCCAGCAACAAAGTCTCAGACAAAACTAAACCTTCCATCCTTGCTCCTAATCGGAATACCAAGCAGACTTCCCTTTCTCTCCTTCTCAGCCGGTCGAACAGTCCTCTCACTAGCAGCTTCACTTCTTCCACTTCTGCTGTGTCTTCCACTACTCGAGTGCTTACTAGAGTGATGGTGACTTCTTCGATGCCTTCTTGGCCTACTCAGATCCACACACGATATGCTGTCCTCTGGAAGCACAGTCTTGACATCCCCCAATCCATCAGAATCCTCAGCTTCGAAATTTTCCCAGCTCTGGAGCACGGAGTCGCGCTCGTGAATGTATGGCTTTGCTGGGACTGGTGGAGGGGATTTGCTTCTTCGACTTTTCGAAGGCTTGACTTCCACGTCAGGATCCTCTCTGCTCGAAGAAGCGGCTGAAGGAGGTAGGGAGATGGCCGCAGGATGGTAGCACGAGCTACCAGCTCTGCTTGCGTGAGATGGAGCGTGATTACCAATGGGTGGTGGCGGGAATGGGATGGAATCGGAAGCTCGGCGAGAGGGTCGAATAGTGCTTGCCGACGATCTTGTGCCGGCTTCACTGCCTCGATCTCGGTGCGAACGGGAGGAGTGCACGCTGATGCCACTATCATGACGCTTGAGCCTCTCTGCATCCTCCACACTGGCGCGAGAACGATGAGAGACTGAAGATTTGTGGTCATCCTTGTCGCTACCATGGCGGCTGCTGTGCTTCGAGACTGAAGATTTGTGGTCATCTCTATCGCTACCATGGCGACTGCTGTGCTTCGAGACCGTACTTTTCGGCGCTTCCAGGTAATAGTCTGGTCGGTCGACCTCATCGTCTATTGGCAACGTGCTTGCTCGCTTGATGCGGCTACCGGCATTAGACTTGGCCGGAATATATTCTGGAAGGTACTCTGTCGAACCATCGACAGTATGACTTCGTGTGGGATGCGGTCGGAGGTGTGTATAGCGAGGGAGGTTTTCGTAAATTTCACCATCGTCGTTGTGGCCAGTTTCCTGGATCATGCGCATCGCCTGAGTTGAGCGCGGGACCGGGCGACTGTATGCAGATTCTGTGGTGCTGTAATTGTGGTGAAGCCTTCGACTATCTTTGAACTCAGACTTGGGTGCCTGTGATAGAGCTGGAAGTGATGGTGGCATCGTCTCTGCTCGAGGTGGTGGCGGTGTTGGTTGGCTTTCGTGCATCGGGGGCATTGATCGGGGTGTTGATCGTGATGACATGAAGGCGAGATGGTCAGCCTCCTCTTTTGCATTCTTTGCCTCTTCACGGGTCAGGGCGAACATGAGCGCAGCACCTGCTGCAGCACCCAGTGCAGTCCCAAGGATTGCTTTCGATGAGAAGCCCGAACTTGAAGGCGTCGTAGTACCACCTGATACGCCCTGCGGTGGCGCTCCAGACTTGACGGATTGCGACGTCGACTTGGCAAGGCTCATTGCAGTTTGCAGTCGAGACTTTGCGGTAGATGCTTTGGAGCCCATTGATTTTGCGACGGAATGTGCATCCTCTTCGACATCTTCGTCCTCAACGCCCTCTCGCCATTTTTGGACGTGATCATTCTCAGCCGGCGCTGCCTCACCACAGCCAGCTCCTGCAGTATGTGGCTGGCGGAAAATGAACTCTATCGTATTGCCGTCATGGTCTTCGACCGCAGCATTGAAACAAGTGCAATCCTCATTACGATAGTTTGGAGCGCCGCTCGGACGACCACCAGCATGTAATGCTGCACTATAGCAGTCTCGCACCACGTTTCTGTTCTCGGCTAAGAATGCAATGTGGTTTGGAGAAGGTCGTGTGCTGTTCCTCATCAGCTGTGTCGTCTCTCGAGGTGTGACCAACTCACTTAATGTGCGCCTGTGTGATGAAGAAGTCTGCAGAATCGACGCCTAGGCCTATGGAGTTTCCCTGGTGTCCAATGAAGCGATAGCCAAGAGGTTGAAGAGCAGCCAGATAGAACGAAGTTGCGCTTGGAATGTGAGTTACTGTAAGGCCCAGATGTGATACAGGCATGGTATACACGTAGGAGTGCAGAAGTTAGGGTAAGAATGGCGGTGAATGTACAAGATTAATGCTGAACGACAGTAGAGAACCAGAAGGAGATAGCACCTAGGTGCGATACAGATGCAATGGGTAGGTAGTTCGTAGGTGTAAAGAATACTGGCGGAGAAGGATGTCGATGCTGCGGGGCGAAGACAGCGGTTCCTCGTTAAGAGTGAAGAACTGGTTGAAGTAGAAGAATACGAAGGTACAGAAGCTGGTAAGACGTGAACGAAGCAGGAAATGGTCAGAAGATGCCCAACAATGAGACATGCCCCGGAAAAGCTAGCAAGAGGCCCCCATACAAGACTTGCCGTGGCTCGTGAGACAGACCTCCCAGTGTTATTCGCTGCCCTGCTGGTCGGTGTAGGCTTCATTGGCGGGTCTAATGTGCTCACTGGGCGGCCACATCGGCACGAGTCGGTCACGCAGTCGCGAACCGAATCAGTTCGGACCACGCAACAACTTGCAAGTGCAGTTGAAGGTCGAAAGCATACCTGACCTACCTCTAGGCAATTGGTTGCAACGTCCGTGGTTCCACTGGGAAGAGAGCTCGGGCGTTGGGAGGACAATTCGCAGCTCGTGGTAGGCTTGGACGGGGGAAGTATTTGCTTCCTAGTGCGGTGAGCCATATCAGCCTACTGGCCAGGAGAGAAATAGATCTCGGTACAGGCGCCCATCAGAAGCTGCCACGTCCTCGTTGCTTGGAGCTTGATGGCGGAAGCATCGCGAGTGGTCGGCACGGCCCATTGTATGCATAACCGCTGCTCGATCCCAGTCGCCGTGGTTGAAGTTCACTTTCTGCGTTTGCAGAACACCCATGATATACCCCAGTGCTATACTGAACACCGGGCCTTGGCTTGCGGCACTTCAGACCTGGCCTGTGGTGGTCCTGGTGGAAAGTCTGAGCCTCTGATTGCGTATTCTGTGATGCTGGCTGCCTCCCACGACGTTTGAATCAGGAATGGGGAGCGAGGAAGCAAACGGAAGCGTTGCCCGCTTCAAGACTAACGCCAAGCACCATCCCACCTCACCTCGCGAAACAGCCGGAAGGACTTGCCGAGAGCACACACATGCGGTGAGAGAAGAGCGGAGCCACCCCGCCATCATCATCATCATCATTTCAAGACTCGAAAGAATTGGAAGAGGCTGGACGCCGTGCCATAGCGTGCACGCGCAGATATGAGCTGACAGCGAACGGACATGAAGGATCAATCCTGCTATCATCCATCCTGTTATTATGGTCTGCAGCGCTTGTCATCCTCGCGTAAGCTTGGAGTGAGTGGGCACGCATGCGAGATTGCGGCTTCTCATGGCTTCTTCCTACCTGGGTAGGTACATATTGGTATGCGTCAAATCAATTGTAATAACGACGTCGTCGCTGGTTCGAGGAGGTAGACCGACGCGCGAGACTGGTTCTCTGGTTGCATAGCACATGTTCATCGCTTAGCAGCATATACACATACAACGTTGCTACCGGCATTGCCAGCGGCTGGATGCGTGGCAACCTGCAGTCACTGCCTGGATCATTCGATTCGAATCTACGTAGATACAGGAAGGTGACAGCTGCAGAGCCTCCGCATCTCGTCACAACTACGAGCAGCTCCTGTACAGTGGTGGACGAAACGATGGCAGTCAGGCGTACAACCTCTATAATAAGGTCATCTTTGCCACTCACGCTGATGTCTACTCTTCGGGTATCACTGCATTGTTATTCAACGTTGGGCAAAGAGCATGGTCCACCACACCACCGCGGACAGGTCTGCTGCCGTGTTGTCGTCGTCTGTATTCATCCATGCGCATCCACGCTGGCAAATAGCTCTGCAATATCAATCCCACATTGCCTGATGAATGCTGACGTTTCTTCTTTGGACATCCCTCGAAGTTGCCCCTTCTGCAGCTGCACAAGTACCGGCTCAGGAATGCACTCTGCCAGGCTCTTCAGAAAACAAACAATTTCCTTGTCAGTCTTGGCCAATGGATGTCTTTCCGAGACAGCAGCCAAATGGGAAACAAGATCTTTCCAATACTGATCTTCGGCTGATAGTATGGTCTCCAAAGCGCGAGTTCTGATGTCCTTCCATAGCTCTGCATCTTCACCGTCCATGTCTAAGCAGAAAGGGTTTTCGTCTCGCCTCCTGTCATGTATTTTTGGCGCTTCGCCCGTCATCTCCTCACCCTCCTCTTGAACATCCTCAGGTCGCTTGGGTCCCCACGCAAAAGCTTCGTCAATCGCGTCCGAGCCACTGGCGCCCCAAATGAGATATTGCTCAAGACAAGCTTGCAACATCCAAGCAGCTGCTAGGCGCATCCAAGTGTCGGTGGGCGGACACGAGAACATAGTGTAACAGGCGCCAGAGATGCGCATGAAAAGAGGGAGGAGGTCGAGAAGACTAACGCACTCGCTGGTGCCGTAGAATGCGTCTTCGTAGACATGATCTTCCGGTGGAATATCGATACTTCTCAGCACGTGTGCGCGATTTTCTTCCAATTCTTCTGCTGTAACAGGAAGGGCGCTATCAAATGGTTTGGTGTTAGCATCCACTGTCGGAAGACGTGAGGCATCGCCAATCCATGTTCGTGCTCGTGTTTGATTGCTGTCGCGTAGAGACTGCAGGGAGGACTTCGCCGGTGTGGCAGGGCATCGTACGTAGCGTTGCGTGACGAGCGTCACAAGCTGCAAGAGTAGTTGTCGAAAGTGCAACTCCTGATCTGGTCGGTATGCTGGGTAACGACCTTGGAAGAGGCGCAAGAACTGATCAGCCTGAGCAAGACATATGCTCACGTTGTTTCTATCGAGACAAGCACTAATGGCCTGGTAGAGAAGATAGTCCAGTATCATGTGGTCGACTTCCAGCGCTGTTTCAATGTCGTCCATTTCTCGAGACGCGAAAGCGGCATAATCGCGACCAGAAAGCTTGACGCGTTTCTTGGGACGTTCCCCAACGATCTCCTCATTTGTCTCCCGCTTGTCTTCGGCCTGCCGCTGCTCTTGATGATCCTCCATGGCCACGCCGTTCGCATGTCCGCCGTCAGACATGCCGTTCGATGCACCCAGAAGAATCATTTTCCCTACGCGCGACCGCTCGCTTGGTTGGCTGCAAAGATGTAATCAGAGTTGGAGGAGAATTTTGCTATGGTCCTGCCTCATAGACAGACGCACGCGTCAAAAGCTGGTCCGGTTGCTGGGACTCCCAATTTGCGAGCATTGGCCTCAGCGACGACGCGTCCCGCAAGGTGGCCTTCGTCGTGTCGCGACTGTTCGTGGGTTGCAAGTCGTATTCATGGTAGCACGGGAACCAGACTAGAGTGCCAGTGCGTCGAGTGACATTGTTTGCTAGGAGGTACTGCAAGACTACATTACTGTGGGGAGTGTTGTTGCTTGGGTCACGAGGTGAGGCCCAACGTATTGAGCGCGAGGTGCTTAAACTTTCATCCAGCTTAGCCCTCCTTCTGTACCAACCTGTCCCAACTCAACTTCTCAGGACTCTCTTGTACCACCAAAACACCTCGATGTTTATCAAGGCGCCCCTGAACTTGGTGCTACAGGCTGAATTCAATTGAACTTATATTGTTCTGAAAGTTTCGGTCGTATAAATCAATCTAGCATCACTTCCCTATGGCAGAGCTACACTCTCCTTCCTACCTACATAGGCTACGTTCACTCACCTGGCATCCCGGCCTTCAGGTTATCATACTTTGACTCGGGGTATTCGAGGACATTGGCCGTATTCTCCATGTGCTTGCCTTGGAATCCACCTAATCCTTGCACTACCACATTGATCAAGCTTTCGCCCTGCGATGCGGGAACGTCACCGCTTGTTTCCCACCACATCCCTCCGCCCAGTCCAGTGTTTTTGATGTATTGTACCTTCTGAGCTGCGACTTGAGGCGTGTCATAAGAAACCATTGTTCGAGTTGCGGGATTGTAGGACCAAGATGCTATAGCTTGGGGATCGTGGTGAACCTGTGCACCTGGAGGTGGAAGAACCTGGACGTGCTGATGTTAGTGCATGCTTCTTGCTGTCATAAGTGTCAAACTCTTCTTGGTGAGGAGCGTCAAATGCGAGGCTCAGATTAGATCAAGTTATTTTGGATTTTTGAAGTCCCGCCCATTGCCTCCATTTGTTGCCTCACAGAGACGAGGTGCAAAACCACCGCAGCTGGGGGGCTTTGGGGTTATGTCACTCCGCTCCGACGAGATGGTGGGCTTGGTGTTTGCTCTTTATCATCATGGTAGTGTCATCATCGGCATGAAGCATATCACGCTTACCTTGTAGTCCCATACGCCATTCTCCCAGCTGCCTTCTCCAACGCCATTGAATGCGCATCCAGGTCCGTTCGTGTTCTGGAACGCACGTCCGTACAATGGCATGCCTAGGACGATTTTATGTGGTGGCACACCTGCATTCGTATACCAGCGTATAGCGTTATCTGTGCTGAAGGGTGTGCATTGTGGATTCTGCTGCGAGGGGAAGACGTTGGCTTGATGTCCAGCAGTCGGGTCCCAGGAGCCGGCGAAGTCGTAAGCCATCATGTTCCAAAAGTCGAGATACTTGTCCATCTCGCGGATTTTCAGCCATCGGCTATTAGACTCGCCTGCAGGCGATGCAATAGTTAGCAGGAAATGCGGTCGATTTGGTAGTGTGGCAGAGTAGCGCTCGAGTTCTTCGCGTGTTGCTTTCAGCAATTCCACGAAATCTGCCGCTTCGCCGTCGTTCTTTGGGTACTCCCAGTCCACGTCTAACCCGTCCAGACCGAGGTCTTTGAGCAGTTTGACCGAGCTCTGGGCAAATGTGCGACGTCCAGATTCAGTGGACGCAGGTTGTGCGAAGTTGCTCGAGTATGTCCAGCCTCCAATGCTGAGTAGTACTTTGAGATTGCGATTGCGTTTCTTGAGGAGATACAACTGCTTAATGCAGCCGTAGACATTCGTCCCAGTGTCATTCCAGCTGTCAGTAGGATAATGTTTGTCCGTGTCCGCCTGCGAGTATCAGTATGGACCTGTTGCAAATGCTGCTGTTCAACACCCACCCATGAATCAGTCAGGTAGACCTCCCCAGTTTCCGGTCTGATGTTGGCAAATGCGTACAGAACATGGGTGAGCTTCTCCGCTGGGATGTCCTGAGGCTGATGATTCCTGCCATAGATTGCCCAATTGACGAAGTAAGCCACACTGCGATATCCTGGGTGCTGTGCCATGGCGTCTCTAGTCTCGAGAGTGTCCTGTGTCTATCGTCAATGTCAATGTAAAGGGTAGGTAAGAAGTGCAAGAAGTGAAGCTGGAGCCACGGTGGCTGATGCCTGAAGATCAGCGGCAAGTGCACAAATCAAGGCAGTGCTAGGAGGTAAGTGGATGACGCTGGCGCGTCGGCAGCCAAGCAGAGTCTTTTTGGTGGCGCAAGATATACAGCATCGTTGAAGCTGAGGTTTCGGTGCAATATGTAAAGATGCTCGTGCAATGTGAGTTGGCGAAAATGGTGTTGCCTGGAGGGAGTCGTACTGCTTTGTCCGCCGATGAGAAACACAGTCCCATGAGCGTTGAGGTGAAGAGTCGTTTTGAGCTTGGAGTGATTTGTGAAGGAATGAGTCAGCTCGATTTTAAGGTGGTATCGTGGTGCTACAGTCGACGCTCCAGATGCACGTTGTTTGCTTCGCAGTTCAGATGGAAGATGATGTCGGAGGTCTTGTTATTTGTACTGACCATCACCTTGAAACTGAGATGAGACTGCACGCGCCACGCGCCACGCGTGCCTCAAGGAACGGGCCGAGTCCGTCTCCGCCGCCTCTTCCTCACCCGAGCCGCTCAAGGTGCATACATGTACCTCTACCTCTTCAGGTACCTGTACTCTCCCGTTGTCGACAGCAGCATTGCCCGTCTCTCAGTGCCTGTATGCCTCCTGGGCCCATGAAGGAACTCAAAAATGGTGCCCCGGCGCTCGACTCTGAAGTGAAAGCGACATCCGAGACTGCAAATTCCGCATTGAAAAAAGAGACTGCAACCCACTTGGAGAATATTGTCCGAGCACAAGCAGATGCCGTCAACAGCCGTCAAATTCTAGTGGACGATTCAGCCTTCACTTCGCATTGCACAGCAGATTTCGTGCATCTCGCCACTCCGCCCTGGCTGTGCGAGAGTTCGACCTTGCAAGAGACGCTCGATCGTCTCAAGAGGACATTCGTGGAAGATCCGGAGTACAGAATGGTCATTACTGATCTCAATACGGAAATTATTGGTGGTCATTGGGCACGCGTATTTCTCAGTTTCGAGGCTCACGGCCATCCACCAGGAATGATTCGACCATTCATGGCGATCCATCGTTTCCGGAAGGATGATGGGCAGTGGAAATTGTATGCCATTGAGTCGACCACCGGAGTACTCTGAGGCAGGGGGAGCTCAAGGGACCTCTTCTATATCCGCAGACTTTGACAGCACCCACCAATTTCCACTAATAAGTGTTATATTCCCGAGCTTCGAGCTTTATCGGTATAACTACTCATCCCCCATGGGCAAAGAGTCGTTCTGCTCATTTTCGTATATTCGTATACTTCAGAGGCACGTTCGCATAGCGAGCCCATCATTCCATGCCCTACGTGGAAGTCACCACCATTCTTGATGACTGATGCTTCTGGGACTCCGGTCAGGAGAAATGGATAGGGCATGTCTGCTTGGAATTACTTGCTCTCCGAGGCATCGGTCTCTCACGTCGCAATGGCCAGGTGAAAAATTTTCAGTGAGAGTTGCTGTGAACGACCCCGAGACATACCAAACAGTCACACAACAAATCTCTCTAGTTGCGCTTCGAATAGAATTCATCTACTCAACATCATCCAAGCAAGTCCCACTATTGAACGCCCTTCTCAACATTTCATCAATCACATCGTACCTAGACCCCCAAAAAAAGCGCAAAATGCCGACGTCGCCTACACTTTCCTCTGGCAAGACCGAGAGAACGTCCGATGCATAAGCCCAAAAAATCTCCCTCCAAGTCTCTTTTTCGTATACCCATAGAAATGACTACGATACCTGGACTCTCAGGTTGGGCAGTATCCACCCTGGCTAGTTGGTACCTGCCCGGATTTTGTTTTGGGTCTGTAATAGAACCGAATGTTTGTCCATGTGGACAACACAAGTCGTGCCGGGAGTAGGTACATACGTGTATTGATTAAGGCCAACACAAAATCTTTCAGAGGAAAAAAAAAAAACCACAGGCAATGGAATTGAGTGCTACCTTGGATGGTGTTTGTTTGTTATCGGAAGAAATGGGAAAGAAGTCTTATGGATGAAGGGAAAAATCTCGGTAAGAAAAACGTCGGGTCCATAAGGTGGGCTGGAATACCCATCATGCCATGGTCCCAGAAATGATAAGATTCAACCAGCGAACGATACAATGAAAGACATATTGAGATGTGTGTCACACAAGGCAGGCAGGCAAGCCGCCATTCGTATTATGGTCTCGACCATCAGCCGGCATAACTACTAATACAACAGAGGCCCCGAGAGTTTGACCTGCTCGCCGCCGTCTCCTATTCGTCCAACATGTTTCTGACCCCGTGCTCGCAGGAAGCCGTCTCTCCTGCCCCACGAGGCATGCTTGAGTGACTTTTGAACATGCCCCTCGTTCACGCTCGTTAGTAGCACAGCAGTCCATCTACGGCTTTTTTTTTCTCGCCAAAAGCTAATGCGGCGGAGGCTGCGTGGGACCATTATGCTGAGGCGGCTGAGGCGTCGTGCTCGTCGGTCTCGGTGCAAGTTCTTGGATGGGCCGAGGTGGCGGCGGCGCGTAGCCATTGACTGGAGTGTGCGGATTGCTTGGGTAGCTGACAGGAGTGGCTCGACCTGATCCTGGCTGCTGCTGCTGCTGCTGCTGCTGTTGTTGTTGTGGTTGCTGCGGCGCTGGGTACATCGGTCGCTGGGCACCAGCTTGCTGTGGTGGGTAGCTGGGCTTTGCGGGCGACGCGTTGCGATTGAAGATCTGTTGCGGTGGCGTGTTGTTGGTCTGGAAATTGCCTACACTCAGTGTCCGCGCATATGCCTGATTTTGCAGAGGCGTGGATTGATTTTGCGCCGTTGCCTGATACTGCTGTGCATAACTGCTATAGCCTCCATTTGACTGCTGCGGCAGGTTCCGCTGGCCGTAATACTGCTGGTTCACGGTATTGCCATAGCCCGGCTGTGGTGCACCTGGTCGCGTAAACTGCTGTGGTTGAACGCTGTACGATGGTCTGACATTAGGAGCTGTACCGAATGTTGAAGGGTTGCTTTGCTGTCTTTGGAACGTAGGTGTTGCAACCGACGGTGTTCTGGCGTTGTATGAAGTGCCATATCGGGTATGTGCCAGAGCTCCAATGGCTGGTGTTCCTTGTGGGGTGTGATTGTAACGTTGTGACGCTGCCGATGAGCTGGGGCGAGCCAGGCTAGCAATGCTATTGGCAGTGGCCATAGCCGCAAGCTTCGCTTGTCTCGCGACTTGGTCTTCTTCCATGACTCCTCTCACGTCTGCAATTTCGTATGCAACAAGAGTCTTGACGCCTAGGTCTGCCAATTGATCACCATCGAGCTTGGCAATTGCATATGGTGGCAGTTTCAGTAGTAGGTACGCGAGTTCGCGACGAAGAGTGTGATATGTTGCAGTCTCTTGTTCAGAAGGTTCGTCAGGTTTGCCACTTTGCGTTGAGCCAGCAGGACCTGGGCTGATCGGAGTGCGCGATGCTGTCGTCGAGAGATGTAAAGAAGCGTTGCGAATACGTTGATGAGATGCCAGTGTTTCCAGGAGCTCAGAAACTTCTCGCAGCACTTGCTCGACGTCCGTTTTATCCTTGTTCGGTTTGATAGGGGCCTCAGTCTCCATCTTTTCTAGTTGGTCAAGATCTTCTAAAACTTGACTGAACTCATCTTCCCGAAGATCAGGGGTGGGCCCCCAGTCTGGCACCTGTGGCTGGACAGGGTCGTTCAGTAGCGCAGGATCAATTGCGAAGGCGCTGTAGTATCGCTTCTCGCCGACTTTCTGCCACCAGACCATGTTCTTCAGCTCTTCGGGCACAATGGCATTCGAACTATCTTTGGGAGGGGCAAAACTCGAGTACGCCTTCCGGAAAAGAGCCTCTTCCTGTCTCTTCAAGATCTCCACTGAAGTCTCCAAGGTGTCTTTCCGAGCGGTGCCGTCACTAGAACTGAGAGCTCGATCGCGCTGTTTTCGTCTCTCTCGCGTTGAGACTGCCGTCGAATCGTCAACACCGCCATAGTCAAGCCACGTCGCAGTAGACAAAGGCTGGACGGTATAGCCTCCACGCTTATTGCGCTGTGTTGGATCTTTGAATTCCCACGTTATTGAGTGATCCCGAGCGACCGCACGCTTGTGCGATTTGGGCGGTTGCAGAGCAGCGAGACTGTAGGGTGGTGCAAATGCCTGTTCGAAAGTGGGCCCTTTCTTAACCTCATCAGGGAACACAGATGCTATCTTCGTCGTAGATATGCCATTCGGTAGGCTCATCTCTTCCACTGGTAGTTCGGTTTTGATCAAAGGCGCATCGCGATCGGATGGATGCTGCTGAGACGAGAACAATTGCTTGGGCGTAGGCGCATTGCCGAACAGGGTGAGCACTGTCCCACCACGAGTGCTTCCAGAAGACACCTTCTGGTTGCAAGTGCCATTCACAGTATCCTTCTCTTCCTTGCCTATCTGCAGTCGCCCTGGCTCCTCCCAGCCACGCTCCCGCTCCACAATCTCCTGGACCAGGGTCTCCAGAGACTGGATCTTGTTGATCTGCTTCAGCTCCTCCACAGTGGGACGGCCGGCTGTAAAGTTTGCTCGTTCCCTGGCCTTGGTCCTTATAGCAGTCACAAGGTCGTCGCTAACAGTGCCTGCATCTTTGCGTAAGTCCTGAAGGGATGCATAGCTGGAGGCTGCCAGTCTGCTAGCTATGCTGTACCGATCGCTCGCTGGCTCGGACAGCTTGGCCTTTTTGTTGGATGGCTCAGTGGATAGCACGGCGTGCTGCAAGAAGGAGGGCTCGGAGTCATGTCTGTCTACCGTTAGTACATATGCCTGCCTGCGTATTGTTCACGATCTGGGGTGCGCGGACCTTGTGAGAACTTCCAAAATATCCTTTTGTATGCACTTGAGCTGTGATGCGGAAGTGTCTGCGTCGTCTGAAGATGACTGCTCATCCTCGCGCTTCCGTTTGGTCGTGTTCAGGTCGGCGGTGATGGTGTCGGCGGTGTGCATGGGCGCAGGTGCGGCAGCATCGCCGTTCGTGAGAGTGGCCATGTTGCGCACGCGTCGAGGTGCTCGAGAGAGCTAGGGTCGCGTGGGCGCGTCTGGTGAGGGATCACGTCTGGTGATTCTTTCTTCCACCCACCGCAAACCAAAGCACGATTTCCACTCTGCTCTTTCCCGACCCCTCTCGTCGCACAATGAGATTTCGTGGTGGTATGGCTCCGCTCTCGTCGTCGTCCAATCATGCGCCAATTGGGTGCAGTATAGTATAGTACAGGTGTCGTCGGGATACGTAAGGTAGACACGTCGGTCCGTGTCTCCAGCGATACTAGAACTAGTACATGTAGACTAGAAGCTCGGAGGATGTGGTGAGTTGCTCCGGGTGTGTGATTCTAGCGAGAAATGCTGGGGACGGCCTGGCTGTCGACCCAACAGAAGCGGTAACTCAGGGCGTTTTGAACACGATGGGATGAAGAGACAACGCACATAAGCACACGCAGCGCACAATCGAGTAGAGGCTGGCTATTGTATTATCACACTCCACCGATGAGACTGCATCTCCTTGCTGAATGGGTATCACGTGATGATCGAGCTTGGACTGCAAAAGTGTCGGGCATTCCCGCGGCCGCGCTGCCCGTACCTTCCATTTGAGAATGCAATTGCGACTGCGTGCAAAGAGCTTCCATTCTCACCTCCCACCTCCCGACGTCTTTTCATTCTTCCAAGCTTCTCGTCTTCCCGTCCTTTTCTCACCTCCTCCCTCCATCGCTATATCGCCAGCACGCGCTTCTAATTGATGCATGCCACATGGACGACTGACGGCGCTCGGCAAGCAGCTGCGTCAAGTGCTTGCCACGATCTCGAGATCGCAAACTGCCCATGCCTGTCCAGCCACTGCACGACGAAATACTTCCTATACGCAACAACCTGCGCTCCATGCCACCGATGCTCCCAATGGCATCGCGAATAGGACGACAGCCAGAGCTTCTGCTGCGACAAATGGGGAACAGCTGCTGAACTTCAATCCTATATCTGCGGCAGATGGGTTAGATCCGCATGAATCCAATAAAACATCTGCGGCAGATGGGTCACAATCGCATGAGTTCAATCATGTACCTGCAGCTTCACGCCAGAGATTCCGCGCGAGACACTCCCGCTGCAAAAGAGGAGTCGATCCTATTGGCAGTGCCTTGAGGGCAACTGGAAAGGCCCACTTGCATTTCGTACGCTCTACACATATGCCAAACCTGCATTCTCGTTCTCGCGACCCGAAACGTCGAATTGGATCCAAGAATAAGCGCAGGCGAGCGGCTGCTGGCGCAGTCTCTCTTCAGAGCATATTAGGGAACTTTATGAAAGCAGGGGACTGGGGTGTAGATCCATTGTCAGCTGACTGGCAGACCACTTACTCGCCTTCTATCCAAGAGGCTGAGCACTTACGCGTGAGGGGGTATGATGTACAAGACGTGGCAGCATGGGCAGCCATTATTGGCAACGAAGATGTCTTCGAGGCTGCAAACACGCTTGCCACACGTAACAGGAGCAGCGGTGTATTCGCTACGCCTTTGTTCGTCTTCCTCAAGCTGCTTCGTCGACCCGATATACTTGCTGGAAGCCTTCGAGTCTTGCTGGAGTTGGCATATACCATTTTCGGCGAGAGGGCAAAGCTGTTAGCATATCCGCGAAGCGATGATGACGCCCGTTTCATTGCTGTTGTCCGACTGCTTCGCCATGCGCGAGAGCTGTGGCCAGCTAGTGTACTTAGTATCGTACAGCTCTATCTCCGTGGGCCTCAGCTGGATCGAGCCACGGAAACGGACTCTCAGCTGTATCGCTTTGCGGAAGTGGACACCTGCAAGTACTTGTCCACTGAAACGTACCGGCTGAATAAGCTCATGAGTCTCGTCTCGTTATCGACAAGCGAGCAGCCCTTCAAGAATTGTGACCATCAAGAAGCCGCATTAATTCCAATCTTGCGTTACATGTCCGAGTATGAACCTCCTCTGCACATTGATAGGCAAGGCTACCGAGCAGTGATTCGCATCCAGCTTGCACAACGCAAGACTTCTGACGAGCAACAATGGGCCGGGCTGCAAGCGCTCTCGTGGCCACCATGGAAAGAGGACCGCACAGGCATGGATGCACTAATCACGAAGCATGGCCATGGCACGTCTAGGGCCAGTAAAACACTTCTCCGGATGCGCGAGGCTGGCTATAGGCCGTTGAAATGGGAGCAGTTGGCCCAAATTTATGCTGGTTGGGACGTTGACGGAACACCGACTATACAGACGAGAGCGCGCCTTGAAGAACCTGGGCTGTGGCTGTCAAAGAGCTCGCCAAATTCTATTTTCGAATCTGCGCAATGGGCAGCACGCATTATAACCACCCGCACTATACAAGAGGCCTGGGCATGCTATTTAGCGTGGGAAGGTAAACAATTGCCGCCATCTCAAGATGTGTTCCTCGCTATTGCCATGAAACTGCGTGAAGAGGCTCGACGGCCCCATTTGGAGCACAAGCGTGCTTCACAGGCAGCTCAGCAGAAGGCTTGGCCGCTATTCCCAGGGGATGTCAAAGAGCTGTCGCCTTTGCCACCTTCCACCCATCTCGAAACATACACTCGGACTCCTCCTCCTCCCAATTTGCAGGACTTCTACGAGGATCTGAGAGAGAAGGGTTTTCGTCTACGCGGCTACACTCTAGCTTACTTCATTCGCCATGCTCGTACATTGCCGTTCGGCCTGGCATTGATTCGGCACAGCGCAAGACAATATCCTGGCCTCACTCACATGCTCTCGCGCCAACAAACACCTGAATTAACGAAGGTGCCTCCGGTCATCTACAATGCTGTTGTCACGCTATTCTCTCGCTTTGCGTATGTGCCCCCGCTCGTCGACATTTCCAGTGCGCCATCATCTATTAACGAAACGAGCTCATTCGTTCAAGACGACTTGAATCATAGCAGTGGCATGAATCATCGCAGTGGCATCGTGCATGCCATTCACCTCCTGCGATTACGTCCAGCATCTGCTGTGCACATGTGGGACGCGGTCCATCAAGGATTGACTCGAGAGCGCAACATCAGTTTTTTGGAGACATTTCCATTTGACCGCACTGTCCCGGCCAGTAGTGAGCATTCTGCAGAAGATATAAGCGAAGATCTCAAGAGATGCGGAGGCATTTTCCAGGCTTTTCGCTTGTCGCGCTGGATATGCAATCTTCAGGCTCGGTATGGCGTCAAATTCAGCACGTCGGCGTTCTATAGCGTCTGCATTGTCACGGAATACAGAGCGGCCGCTACCTGGACTGTCCTGCAGGTCGCCGAAGCTAATGGCCATGCATCGGAAGGGCATCAAAGCTCCGTTCAGTTCGAAAAGCTCGTCAACGCTGCCAAAAGCCTCTACATCACCAAGGTTGATGGCAGCAAAGGCAAGTGCCAGGTACTCGCATCGCCCCATATACTTTTCCGTCAGTTGGTGGGCCTAGACGATAAGCCAGTCGAAAGCGGAGCTGATGAATCTCGTCCACCACATCTCTTGACTGTACCCAGCCCAGCTGTTCTTCACGTGTACATCCGCGCCCTTGGCTGGCTGTCTCGTTACCTGGAACTGCATCACCTAGCGCAATGGATGCTCAAATTTCGCGGGGAGCTCCTTGTGCGTAGGAAACAGGACAGAAATGGAGATGAAATGATGCGAAGAGCCATCGTAGCGTTGCGTGTCTTCTTGGAGAGAAGTTGGCTTCCCGGATGCAAGGCTGGAATCAATTACCAAGTCTGGGACGATGGCAGCGCGCTTGCTGACACTCGGAAGAGGCTCCAAGCTATGCAAGCGCCCGCCAGTGATGAGCTTATCGATTCTATCAAGGATATTGTTGAACAGGTGGAAGAATGGGGAGGTTGGCCGAGCGATGATGAGGTGGAATGGTATTCTGCTGACCAACGGTTCCAGTCGTCTAGAGAGTATTATGAGAAGTGGAAACAGAAGCGGATCGAGAAGCGGACCGAGAGGTTGAAGTGGTGGCAGGAGAAGCGCAACAAGAAGCGGAACCAGGAATCAGAAGTATGAGAAGTAGGTATGTTCCACTAGAGCCTTATCCGCGCTGTAGAGAAGAAACCATGTGAAAAAGCAGCAGCCAAAATATTGGCCCATCTCCCTTTCAAGAAGTTACTAATGCCAATAGATCTGTTATCGGGTATAGTTACGGGTATGTGTCATATATGTATATATCCTCACCCTCGTTCTCGACATGTTGGAAGCTCGAAACGAGGCACCCTCGGTCGAATTTTCTTTTTCTTTTTTTGTTCTTCGGAATGTGTTATCTGCATCGTTTGTTTACCTTGCTTAAAGGTCAGGTAGGTAAGGTACCTAGCAATGGAAGCTTCCTGTAATACATATACATACCTACCTTAGTTCATCGAATGACCATCTTGAATCCCTCTCAAAAATTCTAGATAGGTAGGTATCTTCTAAGGAGGTATCCGTATGCAAGACGGACAATAAATTACCTTGGTCCCAGAGATAGGGAGGGGTTTCTTTTTTTTTGATTGATATATAGGGGCGATGAGTAGTGTCTGTTTGTCTGTGCATACACGATCTTGGATGTTTAAAAATAATATCATCCTTGGAGGATGGTTCGGCGAGACTACCTAGGCAAGTGAGTTCTGTAGCCTGATTACTTGATAAGAAGGAGGTGTGTTGGTAGTGCAACATCAAGGCTGAGATGAGACTGGATGCTACCTACTATCCTCGTTTTCATGCACACAGATGAATAATACTACTAGGAGGTACCTCCTGCAGTCATCAAAACTTATCGGATCGGCAGGAAGGAAGGACGCTGGACGCTGGGCAGTCTCTTGGCTCTCTCTCTCTCTCTTCCATGATCAAGATTCGTCGATCGATGTGAGATTTGTTGTGCAGGGCTGTAGGCTGTAAGCTGTAAGCAGTACCGCTGTAGGATGATGTGGTCTTGGAATGTTACTCAGCCGGAGCTAATAATAATAAAAAAAAAAGATGTGGATCTCGATTCTTACAGCCTACAGGAAGCCCGGTGTGCCAATATGTTTTCCATGCTGTGATTTAACTTGTTGGTCTTTACCTCAAGGCTCGGCTCTCATCACAATCATCGTATGCCTTGCAAATTACTGCGGGTACCCTTTAGCCATTAAAGACCACGCGTACCTGGTCAGATCGGATCGTAAGGTACCTACTTCAAGGATCGGGAGTTCTACCAAGGTCCAAGGATGGGCACTGCACTGCATTCAAAGTTCCCAACTTCCCAGACTCTCGCAGGCATCATCTGCGCTTCAGCAGTCAGCAGCATACATACACAGTGATACAGTAGTGCCTGAGGCCACTCACCCTCATCAAATACAGTACACGTACCTCAGGTAGGCGCATACCGGTACTGTAGCTCCTAGGTGTGTGAGGTGTTTGCAAGGCAACCAAGACTGTACGACGCAAGCTGACGATAGCGCCGATGCAGATCTGGTGTGACGGGCTGGCGCGATCGTGATACTGTATGTAGTGTACAGTACCTCCTACGGGAAAACAGACCAAACGGGATCAACCTGTATACTGGGCTTCCGCGATGGTTACAGGCCTGCCGCAGAAAGATTACCGACCCACGAAGAGCACTGATGAGCACTCCACTCCACCTCTTGGCTCTAGCCAGTGCAGTTGCATGAAGCCATGAGGCAGCGTGGGGTTGGTCTTCTGCAGGGCCCATAGAAGACGGTTGACGGTACCGCCTACGGGATTTTGATTCTAGTCTCATGTAGGAGATACAGTAGGAGATACAGTAGTACCTAGGTAGTGATGACGCTTTTTTTGCCAGCTTCGAGGATCCGATGGCGCGCCACGATCTCGCAGTGCAGGATTACATGTAGGTTTATTGCAGTTTGCCGAACGGCACATCTCAACTAAGGTACCTCACCGTACCACCACCACCACCACCACTGGCCTGATCTCCTACAGTACCACCACTGCAAGGTGAGACGAGTACAGTAAGGAAAGGTCAGATAGGTAGGAGGTAGGAGGTAGAAGGTACTGTAGACATGACACGGCACGACACGGCACAACAGACAACAGACAGCAGACAGCTCATCATCACAACACAAGCTTACACACGACACGACACGACGCGACGCGACGGCATCCATGATCCATGTGTGCGCAGGGTGGCAGGTGAGACATCTGCACGCTGCCATGCAAGATCATCGCAACACGGCCGTTCTGTCCGTCGGATTGGGGAAAAATGGCCGACCAGGCACAGGCCACAGGGAGTGGTCAGTGGTCAGTGGTGGGCAGTGGGCAGTGGGCACTGGTGGTGTCTCTCCCATCGGCAGGTGTGCTACTGCTTCGTCGATGGTCGATGGCCAGCACCCCGGGAACATCGCATTCGCCAAATTCGAGCAAATGCCACCCACCGAGCCTCGCCACCGTCACCTTCCGCCCTGCGCCCCCACTTGCTTGTCTGTTATTGGTCAACTTAGATCGTGCCGAACGCCCACAGGCCCACCCCGTCCGATCGGTTGCCAACGAATCCGAGAATTTACTAACTTACTGGTGCTAACGTAGTAGCTTTGCGGTTGCAAACTTCTTGTCATCACCATCTTTGCTTTCTACCTCTTCTCGTTCGTTCTCTGCTCTGCGTGTAGCGCCCGCTGGTGCACCCCGACGACCTCTGCACCTCCTCCCGGCACCTGCTACAACATATCGTGCCTCGCGTGACACGACCATTGTCTGGACTATTCTGTGCCTGCAGAAATTTCTTTAAATCACAGCAGGCACTCCGTCGTCCCACAACCATGCCAAAGCCTCTGCAAAAGCGCGGCAGGCGCATGAAGCGGAAGCATGAGGACGGTCCAGAAGAAGAGGTCACTGGAACGTCTCCCAAACGACAAAAATCAAGCGACGAGAATCCCACCGGACCACTCCCCGAATCGAATTTCATGTCCTTGCAAGACGCGGACGGGGACATGTCTGGAGCCTATCCTAGTGGCGGAGGTACCGAAAAGGCCTTCTTCGGCGTTCTGGACGAACAGGAACAAGAGTACTTCAAAAATGCTGATTCTCTGCTCGAGCAAAACGCTTTTCCCAACGCTGAAGAGCGCGCTGCCTTCCTACAGAGCGTGTTCAGAGAAGCAGACGACAAGGCGCTAAAACTTGCCCAAAGCCAGTCCTGCTCGCGAGTATTGGAGCGGCTGATCAAATTGTCGACTGCTGCCCAATTGAAAAGCTTATTCCAGAAGCTCAGTGGCAAGTAAGTGGCTCTTCGGCGTCTTTGCAACACCCGTTCTTGACTACCCCGGCCCTGTACTGATTGCCCTGACAGCTTCATACACCTGCTTTCACATCGATTTGCATCGCATTGCTGTGAGTCGCTGTTCACATATGCCGCACCTCATGTCAGTGATGAGCTCAAAGCCAAGCCATCTGATCTCAAGTCCCACAATCCCGACGATGTATTCGTCTCCATGGAAACTTTATTCCTGCACACCTTAGCCGAGCTTGAGGGCAACTTTGGCTATCTCTTGACAGAGAAATATGCGTCTCATGCTCTGCGCATTCTGCTACTCGTGCTCGCGGGAGAACCGATCTCAACAGACTCAATGAAAAGTCTGCTGCGAAGCAAACGCAAGGAAGGGATTAATGGCAAGGGTGGGGAGGATGCTACTGGAAAGTCGCGAGTGGTGCCCAAATCGTTTTCGACTGCCTTGGAGAAGTTAATTAGTGACAGCGTGGCTGGTCTTGATACCGATAAGCTGCGAGGTTTGGCCACTCACCCGAACGCGAATCCGACACTCCAGGTTTTGCTCACCATCGAGCTTACACACTACGGGAAACAGCGTGGCAAAGATGAGAAATCGATCATACGCACATTATTGCCTGACGAGCCGTTCACAGCAGAGTCTCACAGTGCAGCGTTCCTTTCCGGCCTGGTTTACGATCCCATCGGCTCTCATCTGGTCGAGAAAATCATCCAACATGCTCCTTCGAAGCTATTCAAGAGCATGTACAAAACCTTTTTCAAGGAGCGTCTAGCATCTCATGCGAGGAATGAAGTCGCAACGCACGTTGTGTGTCGAATACTGGAGCGATTAGGCTACGACGATCTACTCGAAGCTCACGAAATCCTGGTGCCGGAGATACCTGGCCTACTACAGAAGCGCTGGACTTCGATGACGCAGACGATGATTGAGCGCTGTACTGTGCGAGACATTGATACCCAGGCGATTGCTGTACAGATTGATCGGTTTTACCAGGGCGGGAAGGGCTTCGACATCGCGAAGATGCTCTTTGTGACTGAAGAGCCCGGTCACGCAGAAAAAACTGCCAATGCCTCCAATCCAGGTGGTCCTACTGGGACTGGTTCCAACACAACAGCCACATACTTTCCGCGACCTGCTGAGCCGACCAAAGTGCATTTCAATATTCTCGCTCAAGCTATGCTGCTCGTTCCAGGGTCCCTAAGCTCGTTGATTCTCGATGCATTGATTGATCTTGACAAGTCCACCATACTCATGATGTCCAAGGACTACATCGTGACGAGAACTATTCAACATGCCCTCACTACGAAGAATGCTTCGATGGTGACGAGGAGAAAGCTGATTGCTCGATTTCAAGGAAACATTGGAGATATGGCTCTGGACAAGTCTGCGTCGCATGTTGTAGATTGCATTTGGGAGGGGACGCATGGGCTTGCGTTCATTCGAGAGCGTATAGCGGAAGAGCTGGCCGAGAATGAAGCTGCCTTGCGCGAGTCACCGAGCGGAAGAGCTGTGTGGAAGAATTGGAAGATGGACATATACAAGAGGAGGCGGCAGGAATGGGTCAGACAAAGCAGAATCAAGGCTAGCAACGACGGATTTCAAGCGTTCTCCGAGATTGAGGCCAAGCAAGAGAGTGGCACTAAGAAGACACCACTCCAGATGGCAAGAGAACGGCATGCACAGAACAAGGCCAAGTCTGAAAAGAAGGAGAGGGAGATGATGCAAGAAGACGGAGACATACAACCTACAACGGAAAAGAGGTCGAGGTCAAGCAAGAGTTCCCACGGCTCCATGTCAAGCGCTAGCACTCGGCCGCAGCGCGTGCGAGCTGCTGCCGCGACCTCATAATACGGCAATTCCATGAATAATGTATTCAGGAACTCTCGGCGCCTGCTCGGCAGGGTAAATTTCCCAGGATGAATTCAATTTTTTCTTCGTAGCAAAAATGCTACGTGACTCGATGATGTAATCTGCTCCGATCGGTGTTCTCTACTTCCATCTTTACATTTTCTTCCATATGATCTACGCACTTACAATGACATCTTTACAGATTAGCAGACCACCTTTATTCATATACAGACTTCTACTTAGTACGCAATGACGGCCAATGGACATGTAAATGGCAAGAATGGCTTATGGCAGTCTACAAAGAATGGAAACCCTCCAGCCAGAGCCAGAGAAGCAGAAGAAGTAAGCAACATATATGTATATATATATATATATAACGCTGCTGACTGGGGAGGTGTTGACATACTTCATAGCTCCTAACAGCGGTGCAACAACTAGTCACGAGCTTCATACAAAAGGCGGACGACGATGCATCAAGCAAAGCACAAGGCAATAACACTGGAAAGCCAGTCGATGGGCCTCGAAGTGTTTTGCTAGAGCAACACACTCCGAAGGAGCTGCGGCATTTAATGGGCTGTGTTCTGCCTGAGCATGGTCTGGGTAGGGATGGCTTCATCGATATGGTCAAGAAAACATTCCAATACAGCGTAAACGTATGGGATCAAGGCTTCCTCGACAAGCTCTACGCCACAACCACGCCTGTCGGACTGGCCGCGGATCTTGTGCTCAGCTCGCTCAACACGAACTTGCACGTCTACCAAGTCTCACCGGCCCTGACGATCATCGAGAAGCAGACTGCACGTGCGTTAGCTGAGCTCTTCGGGCTCACAGGTGTTAACTCGGGCGGCGTCAGTCAGCCTGGAGGATCTGCTGCGAATCAATCCAGCATGGTCATTGCTCGCAACAATCTTTTTCCCGAAACCAAGACTGAAGGCAATGGTAGCAGACGGTTTGTGTTGTTCACTTCAGCTCATGGCCACTATAGTGTCGAGAAAGCCGCACAGATGTTTGGATTCGGGTCACAAGCTGTACGAGCCGTCGATGTGGACGAGCGAGGTTGTATGATACCTGCTGCACTAGATGCGGCGATCGAAAAGGCCAAGAATGACGGTGAAACGCCATTCTACATCAACGCTACTGCTGGCACGACCGTTCTGGGCTCATTTGATCCCATCGACAAGATCGCGCCCATCGCACGCAAACATGGCCTCTGGCTGCACGTTGACGGCAGTTGGGGCGGCTCGGTTGTCTTCAGTGACAAACAACGCTATAAGCTTCGAGGGATCGAGCTCGCAGACTCGATTTCCATCTGTCCCCACAAGATGCTCAACGTCCCTCTGACCTGTTCCTTTCTCCTCGGTAAGGATCTGAGAGAGTTCCACAAAGGCATGACGCTGCCAGCAGGTTACCTCTTCCACAACGCCGACGATGTGGACAACGGAAGCGCCATCAAAACAGACCCTTCGAGTCTCATCCTGGATACCGAAGTCCAACAGGAGTTCTGGGATCTGGCAGACCTGACGCCACAGTGCGGTCGACGTGGAGATAGCTTGAAGCTCGCCCTCAGCTGGATATACTATGGCACAGAAGGCTTCAGGGATTACATCGACCACGCCTTTGACATTGCAGGAGGTATGGCAGCTCACATTGTGAGTTCGAAGCCAAAGTTCTCGTTGGTCTCGGAGAACCCTCCGCCTTGTTTGCAGATTTGCTTCTATTATAACAAGCAGACGGGTGAAGGGGCGGCGGAGAAGAATTGTGCCATCACGGAGAAGATCTGTCACGGGTTGATAGCACGGGGATTTATGGTCGATTATGCGCCGGGAGAGGAAGGGAAGTTCTTTCGGGTTGTGGTCAATGGACAGACGAGGAGAGAAACAATCTTCGGCTTGACGAATTCGATTGAGGAGATTGCTGAGCAACTGGGTCTGTAAAAAAAAAGGGGGGTGAACGGGTGCCTGAGTCTCGTCGCGAGAAAAGACGGGAGTCGCCATTCCGTGCCTTCCTCACCGTCGTTCATTCTTCCCGCATGGCTGCCTGAAACGCACGCACGCACGCACGCACAGGTAGCTTAATTTCGACCGTCAAAAAAGTCTTCTTCTTCTTCTTCTTTCCTTCTTCAAACTTTTTCGCCCTTCATCACACACACAACCCGAAGACGCCGTTGGATTTCATCAATCACCGCCGCACCGACTACCATTATGGATCGCGAGGAGAATGAACACTGCGCCTCTGAGGAAGCACTCGCCGCTGTTGAGGGCAAGGGCACGTTGACCGCGCCGAGCGACTTGCGACCTTTGCCTCTGCCCGCAGAACTGCCCGCAGAACTGCCCGACGCGAGATCCAGTCGTTACTATGGAGAGCATGGAGAGGTCAAAGTGCGCTATCGTCGCTTGGAGAACGAATACGACACTGAGCAAGCACCGAGCGGCTTGCGGCCTTTTCCTCTGCCCGCAGAGCTGCGCGACATGATTTACGATCTTTGCTATGGAGAGGAGCGAGAGATCAAAGTCCGCTTTCGTCGCGATTGGCGAAGTTCAGAGAAACTCAGAGGCCCGGATTTCGTGGTATGCTCGACTTCGATTCAGGGGAATACCATGCTCATGCTTACCCTCACAGCGTACTACCTTCCCGACTACATTCTTGGCTCATCTGCTCGTCAGCAAGCAGTATTTCGACGAAGCCGTCGAAGTCTGGGCGCAGAGCAAAGTTTTCATCCTCAATTATCCATCCTGTGATTATGATTGGGCATACAGAGCAGATACTGCTGCCGAGAGGCAGCTGCTCAGGTTCATCAGATCTGTGAAGGTTAGCGACATCTATCCTCCGGGAGGCAGGACCATTGCCACCATGCTTAGTTTGCAGCATGTCACAGTCCAGATTGTGGAATTAATGCTTACCAGCGAGACGCTCAAATGGTGGCAAAACCAAATAATCGAGTCTCTGCTCCAATACCGTGGTCTGAGGAGCTTGACTCTCCAATTGCAACATTCGTGCCAAAGAACTACTCTCCAGGAGGCTGTGTGGAATACAAATTGGGACAGCTTCCAACTTCAAGTGCGAGAACTAGTCAACGACATCGTGCTACAGCCGCGTGAGCAAACGAGCGCCACGAGGCGTCCTTGGACGTTCGATCGTGCTTTGAAGGAGGCTATGGCAGCCAGAAATGCCCGCCACGGCCTCACGCCCACGCCCACGCTCAAGATCGCGCCTAAACGTACCATAACTAAGGGACCTCTGACAGACCTCGAGATCCAACAACAGAGGCAGAGCTTTTGCTTCTTGCCCTGACTCGACCACAAGCTATGCTAGCGTGGGTACACAGAATGCGAAGGTGGATCGAACGCTGGATCGTGGTTGGAGTCAAGCAGAAGTGAGAGATGCATGGCGACTCTGGAGAGGACTTCACTTTCTCACCACCAAGCCTCTACCGCCCTGCAAGCCTTCGACTCTGATCTTCCATCCTCGCCAAAGACACTGGCTTCCCACGCAATCGCTCGCCCTACGTCCACCGATGAGGATTTTCGCGTCCTTTTTGAGAGGGGGAGCATCATAATATGCGGAATACAGTAGGAGGTACTGTGTGGCACTCTACGAGTGAGTGCCTCAGGCAGGCAACCTGCGCCTACCACTTTGTACTTTTGACCGTAGATAGATACTGTACCTATTCACCACTTTTATGTTTCCATAAGACCTCACAGTACTTGCTCAACAACAATAACATTGAACTGTCACAACACAGATCAAAAAAAGAAAACAAAAGAAAAGGAGAAGAAGAAAATATAATGTATCGCGTACGTTGTTGTTGTCGTAGCCGTCCGTTATTGTTGTTCTTTAGCTCTCCGCTTGGAGCATCCATCCATCCATCCATCCATCCATCCTCTAACTAACTAGTAACCCTTAATACCCTTACTGTATCTGCCTCTCAAATCCTCTTCAACTGTAACTGCAGCAGTAGCAGCAATCAATCAATCAATCCTTGGATCATCATCCATCCATCCATATTCCATCAGGGAGGAGGTGGTGGTGGTGATAACTCCTCCTCCTCCTCCGTATCTACAACTCGAAGCAAAAAAAAATAAAAAGAAGAATTCCCATCTCCATATATGGGGCGCCCCCTTCATCATTAGGGAAAATTACCCAACAATAAGAAAAAGACTTGCAGCCCACACATCCGCGCACACACACACACGCACACAGCGCGGGAAAACGCCAGCCGATTCATCCGTCCATTCATCCATGCATGAAGAAGCTGATTTCTTGAACACACCTCACACCTCACACACACACACACATTCTTATTCCGTGCCAGTCAGTCTTGTCATCGACGATGAAGATGACGACGACGACAATGACAACGAAAATCAGACACACGACAAAAAACAATCGGACACGAAAAGCAAAACAAAAAAGGCAGGCTACAGAGCCCCATATTCTTTAGGCTCCGCTAATTGATATTCCTCCTTTTCCATGCCGTCCAACGCATGTCTCCCCTCGTCACTCAAAATGGCTTTCCCATCACTTTCCGTCACCGAGGAGAAGAATCGGGGCTGCCACGTCTCGCCCTTTTGGAGTCTCTCGGCAGCTCGTTTCCGTTGACGCTCTTCCAGCGCCGTCTTCTCATTCGTCGCTGTGCCGAATTGCTTCGTTTCGATGGCTTTGGTCACGTTGCACCAGAATTTTCGGGATTCGTTGTTCAGTTGCATGTTCATTGGGGGACACTTTTTGGGCACTGGGTGGAGAGGAGTCACGTCAATGAGTAAGATGCGATCCGACTCTTTGGTCTTTTTGAACTCGGTGGCTCCAGGCGAGTACCAGACTTTCTCTGTCCACACTCCCTCGATTCTTCCTAGAATTTGTTTCGTCGGCACATCCTTTAATTTCGTCACGGGATCATTGGTAAAGTCCGCAGGTTTGTATAAGATGCCCTCGACTTTGTTCTGCGTCTTTCCAAAGTAGCCTTCCTCGTGGTACTGCAAAATCGTCTTGAGACCGGTTTTGGCACAGCTCGCGGTACAGATATCGGCGACACTGATGTATAGGTTTCCTCGTAAGAATCCTCCTAGGAACGCCGCAGGATGTGTCAATTGGTACTCTTCGTTATCCCGATTCTTCAATTTGACAAAGATGCCCTTGTTCAGATGCCCCGGTGTCACTTTCACGCTTGTGCCTGTGAACTTTGCAGACAATTGATCATACCCTGTCGCTTCGATTCCCTTCTCCGGACAATCGTACACGAAAGCAGAAATGGGAGGATGATGCGAGGTTTGCTCGGTGAGGTAGTTGACCTTCACCGGCTTATGTGTTCCCGTCGTCTTTGCCGCCTCGGACGCTTCGACTTCCCACGTACACCTGAAGAACTCTCCCAAACTCGAATTGTAAGGTTTGCACGGCTTCCCCTTCACGTATTTCAGATCTTTGGTAAACCAGAATCGCAGACATGCTAGCATTCTCTCCACCGAATCATCACTGTCGCCAATAGCGGCAAAAGTCTCGGGTCGATCGAGATAGTGCCAGTATTCGAGATTGGGAATAGGCTCGAGGAGTTGTGCTGGTAGCGAGAATCGGACAGCGGCGATATCTGAGACTCCAATGAAGCGGCGCAGAATGCCTAAGAAAGTTTTGAGCTTGGAAGTATCCGACACATTCTGCCCGTCGCCGGGGATATCAACTGCAGCGGTGTCTACAGCGGGCGCGGCAGCGGGGGCTGAGCTGGTAGTGGGGCGGCTCGTCTCCTCCATGGAAGTCTTTGCAGAAACCATTTCGGGGGTGGTGGATGCGCCTGTATCTGTGCCTGCTGCAGAGGTTGTCATCGTGTCGTCGACGAGCACATTGTCCTTGGTATTTTTCCTCGATAGCAAGCCCATGGTGGAGAGCGGTCTATGACTTGCTCGACTAGTGGCGCGCGGAGGAGGGTGCAGCAGAGGCGCTGCTTTTCGGTCGTGGAGGATTCGTCGAGGCGGGGATGGGAGATGGAGTGGTAGGTAGGGGAGGAGGGTGGCGAGGGCCAGGCGAGGTGGAATTTGCAGCAGGCTTCTATGAGCTCTTCACCGCCGCAGCAAAAGAAGGTGAAGAAGAAGGTGAAGGTGAAGGTGAAGGTGAAGATGTTGGCGCGGTTACAGACGCCTCTGCCGGGATGCTTTCTCCAGACTGAGAAAGCAGACGACGTCACAACTCGAAGCGACAGTCGGTAGAAGTAGTACTAAGGTAATAATTGACTAGCTCTACGTAAAAGTTCTTAATAAATGTTTTGGGGCGCTCTCTGTCTCTCTCCGCGTGTGTGTGTTTGTCTCTGTCTCTGTGTATGTGTCTCTCCTCCTTTCTTCCTCTCTGTCTCTCTCTTCCCCTTTCTGTGAGTGCGCGAGACAGAAGATGTCGGCCACCGGACTTCATGAAGAATACATGTAATAAGCTATGGATGTATCAGATAATCAGAGCTAACTAGGTCGGGGAGTAGTAGCCCTCAGGAACAGCTCACGACGAATCAATCCCTCACGCGCGCCCATCTCCACTTCCCACACTAGTCCCAGCTGAGCACGGCGGCCCACGCGCGGCGACCAGGATGACCTCTCTTTGAAGCTGCATGCAGCTTGGCAGCATGTGACCTGGTCAAGCGACAGGCATGTGCAGACTGCTACTGCCTTCAAGAGTGCTGAGAGAGTGCTTATTACACCCCATCCACGGAGATAAGTGGCAGGTACGATGCACTCGCTCACGATTAACGTCTGACTGCCAAGCCTGCACTATACCTTACCTTATTGATACACGGACGCCACACATCTCCGAGCATGACAGGAGTAGGAGCCTAGGAGGTAGGACCACCGCCGCCAACCAACGCCTCGCTAAATTAAGACTTGAAACATACCTGGTAAGGTACCTATTACTACCTCCTACCATCCACACGAACTCGCGTCCATCACCATTCATCATGTCTCATCAGTCCTCCCAAGCCGTCCACACGCCCACTTGAATCGCATCGGGCTGATCCATGAACAACTCGACGTGAAATCTCTCCTCGGGCCTTTCCGAACTGACATAGATACGATCAAGCACCAGATAGCACGCCTGGTATCCCCACTTCAAGTAGTCGGTGCTCAGATCAATCGCCTCCGTCCGCACCGCATCACCCGACGTGTCTGTGTATTCTCCATTGTTGCTCGCAATCTTGATGTGACGACTCGGTCCACGTCCGTATTCCACACTCAGTCGCACGTGAGACCGACTTCTACTACTACTGCTACTATTACCACTGCTGCTCGAGGAGTGGTGGCCCGGTGCAGCAGGAGTGTCGTCGTGTTGACGGGCAATGGCATAGAAATTCACCAGACGACGTGGATGAATCGGTGTCGCGATTTTCGTTTCTCCTTCCTTGAACGTGACTAGCCCCAGGTCGAACGGGATTCTCCCCGCACCTTCACGCGGCAGCAGCGTCGCTGAAGTCGGCAGGGACGAATCGATGCGGAGCGTGAAGTCTCCCACTTGTTTGGCATCAAACGTGCTACAGATGGCAGTATACGTTCCCGGATCGAGATCGTCGTGCTCGGCAATGCAGCAGCAGGGCCGGTAAATGGTGCTATCGGCGATGATGTCTTTCTTATGCATGTTAAACACCCGTTTGCCTCCACTATGGAGAAGTCGCACATTGACATTCAACTGTGGGTCGCTCGCTTCGAGCAGTAGGCTGATGCTCGTTCGCTGGGGCACTGTAATCGTATACTGCGGATTGTTGCAGTATGTGGGCTTGTTGGAATTTCCGCCCGCAGACTGCTGCGTCCATGATCCCGCCACCTGGGTGTGGTACGCATGTCGACGAGTGGCCTCGTCAAGCACAATGGGTGCATTACTGAAGGTCGAGATGGTGAAGGAGTGGTTGGTGGCGGGCAAGTCTTGCTCGAGTGGAACGATTGTGTACACTTTGCCAGGCTCGCAGTTCTCCAGCTTCAGCAACGTCTGTGGACTGTCACTATACCAACCCTTTTGGAGGGGACGCTCCAGAAGCATCACTCGGCGACCATCCGAGTCGAACACGGCTAATGTGATATAGCCGCTGATATCAATGTACTGGCGTCCGCTCTCAATGTCTTCTGCTGTCGCATTTTCGGGCACAGAGTTCTGGAAATGTCTCCAGAGCAAGATCCAGACATCCCCACTCTTTTTCGCGCTTACGGTGAACTGCGGAATGTGCTGTAGGCTGGCCATGGGTCCTCGCGGCTTATGGAGGCCAGTAATCGTACAGGGCATGGCCAGATCCCAGTTGAAGTGTACATCTTGTCGATGTTTGAATAGACCGGTGTTCCAATTCAGGTACACCCACTCAAAGTGCTGCTGTACAGTGTCTAAGTCCATCCAGAATGTCCCAGGTGTAAGGTTTTCGTCGTTCAACAAGTCCCGTGGTGAATCCACTGTATCGGCCTCCTCATCGAGGGTAATCACAGCGCCCTCTGGTGACAGCTCTTGCCATCGTTCGCTTCGTCTGGACCTACCACGCCAGCTGGTGCCTTCCAGCCACGGATTCTTAATCAACATCAGCCGCTGACCATCGACCTCGCGCAAGTCGAGAACGGCGTAGTCATGTTCGCCGGCAAGCCCAATCTCCTGCTGCGTCTGGCTGGATATCTTTCCGGTGCCCATCGTGATCATCACATCGCCGTAGGAGAACGCCTTAAACATCCGCGACCATAGCCTACTGGGTTCCAAGTCTTCATCCTTCAAATTAACCTGCTCAGGAAGCCAGCCAGTGATGATCCACAAGTCCGTCCCGCTATTGCTGCCAGGGAAGTCATAGCCGCCCCGTATCTTGAGATACGCCTTTTCGACCAAAGCTGGCCACAACAGACCAGGATTGTTGCGATCGACTACATGGATGACACGCTTGGTCGAACTGGTCGGGATGCGATCGTCAATGACCACACGGCGGTGACAGCCATTGAAGTTCATGCGCACGATATATTTCCCGTTGCCTGACATGACAGGGTGTCCAGTGATGGGGTCATACGGATGCATGAATTGCCCCAGCAGTCTCGGATGCCCGCGTTTAGCGCGAGCGATACCAGCACAGAGCGAGGCCACAACAGAGCAGTCAGTAGCAGCATCTTGAACCAGGTCGATATCCCGAAAGAATTCCATGGTGGGCACGAGATTGGTCCTATCATCTCCATACCACGAGGGTGGAGGCAATGCATCTATCGGTCGTTTCCAGGCATCTAAAACCTTTTCCTGGTACTCGGACAGAGGTAGTTCTGAGAACTCGTCGCTGGAGGGAAGTCAGTGGTGGAGGTGGTGGTGGTGGTGGTGGTGGTGGTATCAACAGCTCACAAAGGGAACATACAAAAACAGGTCCTCGCCATCAGCAAGCTCAAATTCCTTTGCCGATGGCTCGCCATTCCATTCGGGGAACTTGACTCCGTTGAGGAAGCCAGCTTTGATCACGATGATCTTCTCTTTGGTAGGGAGCTTACGAGAGTTGACGGGCTCCTCGAGGAGTCTCACCTTCTTGGAGTCGGTCTGCGCGGCAGACGCGGTACTTGTCGTCAGGGGCAAGGGCTCCGAACGGAGTGAAAGAGACGCCAGGTCCACACGCCATTCTACATTGTTCTTGATACGCTCCGCCTCTCGCATATACTGCTCAGCTCGCGTCCTACACTGGGTCTTTTCAGTGGGGTCTTTGACAAGCTCCAAGGTCTTGAGTGATGTGTCTGCCGCCTTGATGGCGATGTCTAATGCCTCGCTCCGGCTACTGGCATGCCGGAGTTGCTTCTCGAGTCGCAGGGTATCTTGTTTCAATACCGCCAGGTATTGGTCTGCGGCACTCATGCCTGTCAATGATGCGCCTGTAGAGGCACTGCTGATAGCAAAAGCGCATGAGACTGAGCAATGGCGGTCAGAGGGTCGAAAGTCAATCTCACTGGAGGAGAAGTGCCGACTCTTCGCTCCGGACGGCCGTTCCCGCGCCAATTCGAGCCCTGCCAAGAACTGGAGTAGGTATGGAGGAAACCAGGTCGATGAGCGTGAGTAGTACACGATGGTTGACTCGCAGAGCTCGGCGTGCAACAACCTCACCTCATCCCACATGACCGAGACGCATCTCCAGACATTATCTAGTCAGCACTTATATGTATATGCTCTGGTAGCGCTTTCGAGTTCAGTCTGAATACGAAAGGGCCTGTGCTACAAACTTACAAAGCCAAAGCAATTCCCAAAAGAGACAGTGCTCACTCACCTTGAACGCTACAGGTACTTGTAGTCTTGTACCTTACCAGGCTTACCTCCTACCTTACATGTACCTTACCGTTGACCCTTCCTTCTAGGAGAAGCCTGCGCCGCTATTAAACCAGTGCGCACACTAATGCTATACAGTCTCCGACTCTCCGCGCACCTGATCAGTAATCTATACGAGCGAAAACCCTCGTCCCCGTGGATGTGACCAAGCCTCGTAGTTTCACGATTGCCTTCCATGTCATGGTTGTCCATCAAGCCCTATTGAACCCGGTAGCATCGACAACAAGGTTTCAACCTCATTAACAGCATGGTATGCCTGAGTATTTATGACGCAGGTGCGAGGTTCGAGAGATCTCCTGTGATCTCATCCGTCGTCCCTTCAAATCATATAAACAGATCACGAGGTAAGAACTACAGGTACATGTTTGTAAAATAGACGGAACTTGAATCTCGACCAGGGCACCTCATTGGAGGTGAGTAGAGCAGTGATCATGGTCCTGGATGCATGAGAACATGCAGTATTCCAGCTCAGGTTGAGCTGCTGTCTGGCGTCTTCGTGTCTTCGTAGGTAGTTCAACACTATGCCATCCTCTCGATCGGAAACACGCAAAAGTTGGACGAGCTCCAGTCTCGTGAAGCTCGATATTGCACGTTTG